GACTCAAAGTGAGCGCTTGTACGAGCTAGAGCAGTGGTTCTCAAACTATGGGGCAAGCCTCCCAAGGGAGGCACGAGCAGTGTGCTTTTTTTTTTTTTTTGAAGAGCTCTGGCTATCAGCCCTGGGTGGCTAGGGCTCGTGCAGAAGAGCCATAAATACCTAGGAAGTGGGAATGAAGGGGACAGCCAGAGCCCAGCCAGGCCAGGGCTGACAGCTGGAGTCCTGCCACCCAAGCATGGTCTCTCCTTCCCACCCAACCCCACTGTCTCACTGTGAGGCAGCCCAGACTTGGGCTCTCCTTCCCTCCTCCTTCAATCATAGAATCATAGAATATCAGGGTTGGAAGGGACCTCAGGACGTCATCTAGTCCAACCCCCTGCTTAAAGCAGGACCAATCCCCAATTTTTGCCCCAGATCCCTAAATGGCCCCCTGAAGGATTGAACTTATAACCCTGGGTTTAGCAGGCCAATGCTCAAACCACTGAGTTATCCCTCCCCCGCAAATCCCTCACCAGGAGACAGTCTGAGCTGAGGCTCTCCTTCCCCCACTCCCCAATCCCTCATCTGGAGGCAGTGGGGCTCCGGCTGTAAGCCCCAGGGTGTCAGCAGCAGCACAGAAGGAAGGGTGACAATGGGGCTCAACCCTTCCTTCTGTGCTGCTCCTGGCACAGCGCTGCCTTCAGAGCTGAGTGCCCAGCCAGCAGCTGCTGCTCTCTGCTCTGCCTTCAGAGCTGGGCAGCGGGATATGTACTTGGAGGGCGTGGCGTAAATAACTACAGACACAAAGAAGGGGAGCCCAATCAAGTAAGTCTGAGAACCACTGAGCTACAGCAATTTTGTTGAAGTCAGTAGAGTTGTACTGTGATGTTGCACTCCACATGTTTAATGGAAATATGTTTATAAGTGTGAATATGATGTAACTGGAATATGCTTCATGAAAAGGTCTCTTGTAAGGTATCATTACAAAGCTTATAATCTACTGAGTGTGTTCATCCTCTTTGTATGAATGTATCATTCTTGTATCTGAAGCTAGAAATATGAAGTATTACTCTAACATTCTATTGTAATTATGCAAAGTGTGAGCCATTAATGGTGGTTTAGAATCTTGATGGCTCCCATTGACCAGGAAAATTGGTTGTAAATGGCTCTGTTTACTTGTAAGTCTTCCTATGTGGGGCGGGGACCCAGAGAGACAAAAGATTCCCGCCTTGTGCCAAAGCTATAAAAGGGGGTGGAACAGAACAAAGGGGGCTGCCAGTCATGAGAAATCCCCTAGTTACCACCTGAGTTGGCACTAACAAGAACTGTACTGGGGAAAGACATGGGCCCAGACTAAGAAGGAGTCTAGTCTGTGAAAGAAGCTTATTGGAACATCTCTGAGGGTGAGATTTACCTGTATTCAGTTTCTTAAATGTATTAGGCTTAGACTTGCATGTTTTGTTTTATTTTGCTTGGTAACTTACTTTGTTCTGTTGGTTATTACTTGAAACCACTTAAATCCTACTTTTTATACTTAATAAAATCACTTTTGTTTATTAATTAACCCAGAGTAAGTGATTAATACCTGGGGGAGCAAACAAGCTGTGCATATCTCTCTATCGGTGTTATAGAGGGCGGACAATTTATGAGTTTACCCTGTATAAGCTTTATACAGAGTAAAACAGATTTATTTGGGGTTTGGATCCCATTGGGAGCTTGGTGTCTGGGTGCTGGAGATAGGTGACTTGCTGAGCAGTTTTTGGTTAAAGTCAGCAGCTTTGAGGGCATGGACCAGACCTGGGTCTGTGTTGCAGCAGACTAGGATGTCTGGCTCAACATGGCAGGGTTCTGGAGTCCCAAGCTGGCAGTGGAAAACAGGCTCAGAGGTAATTCCAGCACATCAGGTGACAGCCTCAAGGGAGTCTCTGTAATCAAACCCGTCACATGTACCACTTACATTAGGGCTGAATTTGGTCTGTCTTGTGTAAAAGTGAGACTGTGCCTTTTAACATGTCTATCAACTATGCACACACTCAAGGCATATATGTGCTTTTATTCACGAAACACATTTATGATGTTGAAATACAATATTATTCTGGTAACTGGCAGCTTCATTGTTGTGATAATGATCTAAGCAGGTTTTAAACATGGAAGGCTAATTTTTCAGTCATTCTCTAATCTAGTTTATACACGCAAACCTTAAAGGCTGCTTTTTAAAATTGGACTCATAATGATTTTAAGTTAATAGGAAAAAATTACAAAGCTGAGGCTGGCTATCTCAGATTTCAATTATGTTTTGTATCAGTTGTAAATAAATTACATTTTTCAAGCTATGATTACTACATAAAAGTGATAGAAGCAACAAATCATTAATGGTGTGAATTACTGAAAAATACATGAATCAGAGAGTACAAAAGTATTAAGGATTTTTGATTTGATTAATCAGATTTTCGGCATCCATAGTAAAAAATAATTTAAAAATATAATCTTGGCTAAACTACCAAAAATTCTAGCAACTTCTTATAAAGGCATTTTTGTTACTTGATCAGCATATGTGTATAAGACTATTTGAATATCCTCTTGCTGGATATATAATACTGTACTTTCTTGGGACACAATTTAAAATGTGGTTTTTACCGACTTTAGAATCAAGTCTATTACATGTTTTCTATTTATTCTGGACATTCCAGAAACCAAAAAAAAAAAAAAAGCCATGAATCGTGTAAACAAATTAATTCATAACAGATGGAGTGAAAGTAAATTTTGGCATGTACAGAGCTACAATTTCATGGTTGTACAATCTTTGACCCTTCTGTGTTTTTACATGACAGCTGAAGTTGATTTGAAACTTTCCAGGCTAAGAGTCAGCCACATATGAAAAGATGAAGCTCCACTTCTTATAAATGGCGCTTAACACTTGCATTATAGCTTATCAGGAAGAAAAAAAAAAAAACAACCTCTTAACAACTCAGCATACCACACAAATTCTTGTCTGTTTGCAGACTCTTTTGAGTTTGAGTGACAAAGGGCTGACTTTATGAACACATTATCTTGGATGTACTGATTTTACAAGCTCTTGAAATTGTGCCAGATAAAAGACTGCAGCAGCAGCAGCACAGCTAAAAAGGCTCATAACATGAAGAAAGACCCTCCACTTTCTTTGACTGAAGTAATTTCTTTTAAACATCGATGTAAGAAAGTAGGTGGCTTTTTAAAGTTCTATTGCCCTTGAAGTTGACTGTCAATTCACAGCATGGACTGACTGATGTCACCATGCACATGGGAAGTTTAAAGTTTTACGAGGTCTAGCATAGAAGTGAGCAACAGCGATATAATTTTTATAATTGTTTTTAAGAAATTAGCTGAGAGATGAGTGAGTAATTCATGGTGTTTGATGACTTTTCCCTCACGTGTGGTTGCAAGTTGTCCAAGAGCAACTTATTCATAGACTTGGGTGGCCAGGTCATTAGCTGGGTAAACTGGCATAGCCCCACTGAAGTCAATGGAGTTTAGCCAATTTACAATAGTTGAGAGTCTAGGTCTGGATCCTCAAAGATATTTAGGGGCCTAACTCCCATCCAAGGGAATTAGGCACCTACATGCCTTTGAGGCTCTGGGCCCTAACCTTATCTCAAGATAAGAAGGGATCATTATGTTCTTTTTTCCTCTGGTGCTTATATGTCTCCCATTTCCATAGTATCTAAGCACCTCACAATACTGGGCGTAAATATCCTCATGGCACCCCTGTGATGATAGTCATCTAGCCCGACCTCCTGCATAATACAGATGATTGAATTTCACCCAGTAAATTCTACATTGGGCCCCATAACTTGCGGTGGAACCACAGTATATCTTTTAGAAAGACATACAATTTTAATTTAAAGACTTCAAGTGATGGTGGCTCCCTTGGTAAACTGTTTTAATGATTAATTACTCTGAATTAAAAATTGTGTGCATTATTTCCAGTCTGAAGTTTTCTAGCTACAGCTTTGAGCCATCGGATCTTTTTATGCTTTCTTTCGGCTGCTAGGTAAAAAAGTCCTTCTAATAATAGATGTCTTCTTTCTGTGTAGATTCTTGTAGATCATGATTTTCTCAACTTTATCTGCTATTTAAAATGACTTGCAGAATATCTTCTCGCAATGATTCATTATCTAGGTCATTCGTGAGCATTTGTTGTAGGTATTTAACATTTGCAATGCAAAATTAGAGCTGTGTTGTTTAGTTTTAATTGAACCTATGGCTTACATAGTATGATTTCTCTTCCCTGAGTGGATAAGTATTATTCTTAAAATTAGATTGCCAGTGCAAAAACTCACTTTCAAAATTGTCCAAAATTGCTTTCCTTGAATATTCCTTAATATTTCTTATAAAGTTCACTCTTTCCAGAAGCATGCCTACCAGTACACTCATTTGCTGGGCTTTTCTTGGAAAACCAACACAAGTGAAGTGCCAACAGTCAAAACAAATTCAATTTTTGTGTTTGAACAAACATACATGGAAAATGTATCTCTGTCCAGCTCTAAATTAGCCCATAGTAGTATGACTATGTCCCAACAAAGTCCGAAGGCTCATGTGCCTATAAGATGTCACTAAAACAATAATAAATGTTCCCTGTGTTTGTCCATCATAGTTAGAATGTCCTTGTCCATCATAGTCAACCACAATTCTCTGCCTCTAGCCCCTTTGGCTCTCTACATTACTTTGTTTGTGTGTTTTTGCAGACATTCCTTACTTTCCCAGCTCTACAATGTATTATCTATTACACAGTTCTAAATTAATCTTACATGCTTGTGTGTTTCTGAAGCCTAACAAATTTAGGCCCTGATTCAGGAAAGCACTTAGGCATGCGCTTAATGTTAAGCATGTGCTGAAGTGCTATCCTGATGAGGAATGCTTTCCTGGATCAGGGCCATAGAAAGACCATAGATCTTTCTTCCTTTCTTTTTTTATTAATTTATTTTTCAATTTGTATATTATGCACTATATTATAGTCTTCTCTCTCCTGTGTTCCAATTTAGTTACAGTCTTGATCACTGCAACTCCTCAGTAACATTCCTGCCCGCTGACTCATAGCAGACCTAAGTCTCAACTCTACAGAATTTAATAGCAAAAACAATCTCGCTCACAGAAAGGCTGTGGAATTCTTTGCATCAGCGAGGAAGATTTAACAATTGTAAGTTATGTCTGGAGAGTAAAGGTAAAGATGATAGGTGGGCTTGAGGGTGTAAGCAGGGATTTGGGGTGCTTTCTACAATGCTGAGTAAAAATGGACATGTTTTTGAACTAATAACATATTGTTTTAATGATCTCTAATGGTGTGACTGTGTTAAGGGTGGATATAGATGTTTTGCTAAAACATTTAGTTATGTTATTCAATAAACTCTAAACTAAGATCTGTAGTCCTAAATATATTTTAATACATTAATGTCTGAACTATGGCAAGACTGTTTTTAGGCCTTAAAATGGGTTAAAATCATTGACAGCATTGCAGAAAAAGTGGGTGCATTTCTGTAGATGATATGACCCAATGTAAAACAGTGCAGTGCTTGAATAATGAGGTAATGAATACTTGTTCATGAGAATGGTTTAGCTTTTAATAATTCTTAAGAATGCAAGGAGAAAAATATTTCCCTGCAGGTCATATACTGACCAATTTACATTTTCAGCAGGAGATTTCACTTCACTGCAAAGGTTCTTGCCTATTATTATTATTATTTTATTTTATTTATTTAGCGCCATTGATGTTCTTGGCACTGTACAAATACAGATGACACAGTGCAAACTCCACACAGCTTGCAATCTACAGAATTCAGGCAGGCAAAACCAAAACCAAATCACACATCGAGAGTCCAATATTTTAGCAGTGTAGTGTTTTTTGATGGTATTGATATCTATTTGATGGATTACCATTGAAGAACATTGAAGGATAAGTGATTTTCGGAGAAATTTGAACAGAGGGGAAGTCTGACTAGAGCATAAATAGTGGGAGGAAATTCCTTGCATAAGGATGGCATGGTAGAAGAAAGTTTAAATACATCTACCTGGCTTTTTTTTCTTCAGTGAAATAATTTAAAATCTCTCAGAGAGCCATGCACATCCCCTCCCTGCTATAATATCTTATCTACTATATGGGTACCACTGTCCTTTTATGGATGGAATGTCAGAACATCTCATAAGCCTTAATACTGCTTTACCTAAAGATGATTCTCCTTTGGATCAAGTGGTAGTATTTTGTGTCTTCAGATGAGAAGAACTTTCTTTAGGTTTTTATCTTCACCTATGGCCTTTCATGGTGTGTGGAAAACTGATGACAGCAAATCTGTAAGATCTGTTATCCACCTTGAAGGTTTTTCAGGGGAAGAGCTCCTATGTGTACAATTTCTGTTTCCTTTACGGGTAAATGTTGGTGTTAGAGGGAAAGTCATCTTTATAATTATTCAGCACATATTATCTCTTTGGAGTCACTAAAGTCAGTAACAGAAGAATGTTCACTAAAATCATGTGACTGATTTCAGCTGTGTTGTGACTATTTATTTACTCGTATGGCAGCTTTATTGGAATGAATAGGCTTGCTTGCTGCTTTAATATGTGAATGTTTGTTTATTTATAATCATTGACATAGTGTAGGGAGAGACTTTCTTAATTAATTGTTTTACCTTGTAAGGAGATTTCTGATTAAGTTCTAAGTAACTATGTAAAATGAATGTAACTGTTTAAATAGGCAAAGAGATTAGCATGAGGATGTAGACTGTCATGATGTCTGTCTGGAGTGGCTCATGACTGTGAGTGCCTACCTCAGGGCAGACTGTCAAAATAGGGCGGACACCCCAGACTAGTGGTATATTCTATAATTAGACTTCACTAAGCCAGTGACTAATGTGAACTCCTGGATCACTAACAATCTTACCATGGAGTCAGAAATAGTCCCCACAGACTCTCCAGTCTATCTTGCAGTCCATTTTCTCTCTGATTGTTATGTTTCTCTGAATAAATAAATAATACTTTGTTTTGAAGAAGGTGTCTGCCACTTGTATTTTCAGACAGATCACTGCTCCTGAAGGGAAGTTTCGGGCAGGTGCCAAACTTGGTTGAGCTAGCTAAGGAAACAAAGTTGGTAAACCAGGGTACTGTAACCTGGAGACCCAATCTAAAAGTAGGCTGAATCACAGGATTCCAACCTGAGAGACAGAGCGGTCAAAGGTTCAGCTAATCCTGAACCATGACTTTTTGTTAATAAAAATCAGTGGGAGTACAAGGTCCTGCTGCAAGTTATATTGGAAGGGAGGTCTAATTAGGTGTAATGGGAGGAGTTGTACTGTACATTAAGTGCCCAGTTCTGCAACCTGCAACCTCACAAGTGGTCCCATTTACCTTACAAGTATTTGAAATATGAAGAAATAAATAAAATATAGGGAAGCTAAGCCAAAGAGGTGAATTTATACCAGATATCATCATAGGCACCGACTTCTTCTGGCACCAGTGAGTGCTCTACCGCCCTCTGTCCCCACCCCCACCCCGACTCCACCCCTGCCCCGCCCCCCTCCTGCCCCAACTCCGCCCCCTCCCTGCCCCTATTTGACTCCTTCCCCAAATCCCCGCCCCGGCCCCACCTCTTCCCCGCCTCCTCCCCTGAGCGTACCATGTTCCTGCTCCCCCCGCTCCCTCCCAGAGCTTGCTACAGCTGTTTGGCAGTGGCAAGCACTGGGAGGGAGGGAGGAGTGGAGACGTGGCACACTCAGGGGAGGAGGCGGAGGAGGAGGTGTGGCTGTGGGGGCGGGGTGGGGAGCTTGGCTGCCGGTAGGTTCACCCACTAATTTTTCCCCATGGGTGCTCCAGCCCTGGAGCACCCACAGAGTCGGCACCTATGGATATCATATCAGTGAAACTGTCTTTTGGCTGTGCTAGAGCCGATATAGACAAAGTTGTATTCCAGAGAACTTCCAACTCCAACCCTTGTGCACCTCTGCATGAGAGAGACTTCATTTAAAATGAGCAACCTTTTAAATAGAATGGTTACTTCATTTTAATAGAATATACAAACTCAGCTGCACAAATTCTAAACTCCTACACCTGATCTATAGTTTACATGCAATAGATCAAACATACGGTAAGAGGTATAGGCTGACTAAAAGAACTCTGACGAGTAAAGTCTGCTTTTGCATCAACACCTATGTCTACACTACGGAATAAGGTCGAATTTATAGAAGTCGGTTTTTTAGAAATCGGTTTTATATATTCGAGTGTGTGTGTCCCCACAGAAAATGCTCTAAGTGCATTAAGTGCATTAACTCGGTGGAGCGCTTCCACAGTACTGAGGCTAGAGTCGACTTCCGGAGCGTTGCACTGTGGGTAGCTATCCCACAGTTCCCGCAGTCTCTGCTGCCCATTGGAATTCTGGGTTGAGATCCCAATGCCTGATGGGGCTAAAACATTGTCGCGGGTGGTTCTGGGTACATATCGTCAGGCCCCCGTTCCCTCCCTCCCTCCGTGAAAGCAAGGGCAGACAATCATTTCGCGCCTTTTTTCCTGAGTTACCTGTGCAGACGCCATACCACGGCAAGCATGGAGCCCGCTCAGGTAACCGTCACCCTATGTCTCCTGGGTGCTGGCAGACGCGGTACGGCATTGCTACACAGTAGCAGCAACCCCTTGCCTTGTGGCAGCAGATGGTACAGTACGACTGGTAGCCGTCATCGTCATGTCCGAGGTGCTCCTGGCCACGTCGGCTGGGAGCGCCTGGGCAGACATGGGCGCAGGGACTAAATTTGGAGTGACTTGACCAGGTCATTCTCTTTAGTCCTGCAGTCAGTCCTATTGAACCGTCTTATGGTGAGTGGGCAGGCGATACGGACTGCTAGCAGTCGTACTGTACCATCTTCTGCCGAGCAGCCATGAGATGTGGATGGCATGCAGTCCTTCTGCACCGTCTGCTGCCAGCCAAAGATCTAAAAGATAGATGGAGTGGGTCAAAACAAGAAATAGACCAGATTTGTTTTGTACTCATTTGCCTCCTCCCCTGTCTAGGGGACTCATTCCTCTAGGTCACACTGCAGTCACTCACAGAGAAGGTGCAGCGAGGTAAATCTAGCCATGTATCAATCAGAAGCCAGGCTAACCTCCTTGTTCCAATAAGAACGATAACTTAGGTGCACCATTTCTTATTGGAACCCTCCGTGAAGTCCTGCCTGAAATACTCCTTGATGTACAGACACCCCCTTTGTTGATTTTAGCTCCCTGAAGCCAACCCTGTAAGCCGTGTCGTCAGTCGTCCCTCCCTCGGTCAGAGCAACGGCAGACAATCGTTCCGCGCCTTTTTTCTGTGCGGACGCCATACCAAGGCAAGCATGGAGGCCGCTCAGCTCACTTTGGCAATTAGGAGCACATTAAACACCACACGCATTATCCAGCAGTATATGCAGCACCAGAACCTGGCAAAGCGATACCGGGCGAGGAGGCGACATCAGCGCGATCACGTGAGCGATCAGGACATGGACACAGATTTCTCTGAAAGCATGGGCCCTGCCAATGCATGCATCATGGTGCTAATGGGGCAGGTTCATGCTGTGGAACGCCGATTCTGGGCTCGGGAAACAAGCACAGACTGGTGGGACCGCATAGTGTTGCAGGTCTGGGACGATTCCCAGTGGCTGCGAAACTTTCGCATGCGTAAGGGCACTTTCATGGAACTTTGTGACTTGCTTTCCCCTGCCCTGAGGCGCATGAATACCAAGATGAGAGCAGCCCTCACAGTTGAGAAGCGAGTGGCGATAGCCCTGTGGAAGCTTGCAACGCCAGACAGCTACCGGTCAGTTGGGAATCAATTTGGAGTGGGCAAATCTACTGTGGGGGCTGCTGTGATGCAAGTAGCCCACGCAATCAAAGATCTGCTGATATCAAGGGTAGTGACCCTGGGAAATGTGCAAGTCATAGTGGATGGCTTTGCTGCAATGGGATTCCCTAACTGTGGTGGGGCTATAGACGGAACCCATATCCCTATCTTGGCACCGGAGCACCAAGCCGCCGAGTACATAAACCGCAAGGGGTACTTTTCGATTGAGCTGCAAGCTTTGGTGGATCACAAGGGACGTTTCACCAACATCAACGTGGGATGGCCGGGAAAGGTGCATGATGCTCGCATCTTCAGGAACTCTGGTCTGTTTCAAAAGCTGCAGGAAGGGACTTTATTCCCAGACCAGAAAATAACTGTTGGGGATGTTGAAATGCCTATATGTATCCTTGGGGACCCAGCCTACCCCTTAATGCCATGGCTCATGAAGCCGTACACAGGCAGCCTGGACAGTAGTCAGGAGCTGTTCAACTACAGGCTGAGCAAGTGCAGAATGGTGGTAGAATGTGCATTTGGACGTTTAAAGGCGCGCTGGCGCAGTTTACTGACTCGCTTAGACCTCAGCGAAACCAATATTCCCACTGTTATTACTGCTTGCTGTGTGCTCCACAATATCTGTGAGAGTAAGGGGGAGACGTTTATGGCGGGGTGGGAGGTTGAGATAAATCGCCTGGCTGCTGGTTACGCGCAGCCAGACACCAGGGCGGTTAGAAGAGCACAGGAGGGCGCGGTACGCATCAGAGAAGCTTTGAAAACCAGTTTCATGACTGGCAGGGCTATGGTGTGAAAGTTCTGTTTGTTTCTCCTTGATGAAATCCCCCGCCCCTTGGTTCACTCTACTTCCCTGTAAGCTAACCACCCGCCCCTCCTCCCTTCAATCACCGCTTGCAGAGGCAATAAAGTCATTGTTGCTTCACATTCATGCATTCTTTATTTATTCATCACACAAATAGGGGGATGACTACCAAGGTAGCCCAGGAGGGGTGGTGGAGGAGGGAAGGAAAATGCCACACAGCACTTTCAGCACAGCACTTTAAAAGTTTACAACTTTAAAATTTATTGAATGACAGCCTTCTTTTTTTTGGGCAGTCCTCTGTGGTGGAGTGGCTGGTTGGCCGGAGGCCCCCCCACCGCGTTCTTGGGCGTCTGGGTGTGGAGGCTATGGAACTTGGGGAGGAGGGCGGTTGGTTACAGAGGGGCTGCAGTGGCAGTCTGTGCTCCAGCTGCCTTTGCTGCAGCTCAACCATACACTGGAGCATACTGGTTTGGTCCTGCAGCAGCCTCAGCATTGAATCCTGCCTCCTCTCATCACACTGCCGCCACATTTGAGCTTCAGCCCTGTCTTCAGCCCGCCACTTACTCTTTTCAGCCCGCCACCTCTCCTCCCGGTCATTTTGTGCTTTCCTGCACTCTGACATTATTTGCCTCCACGCATTCGTCTGTGCTCTGTCAGTGTGGGAGGACAGCATGAGCTCGGAGAACATTTCATCGCGAGTGTGTTTTTTTTTCTTTCTAAGCTTCACTAGCCTCTGGGAAGGAGAAGATCCTGTGATAATTGAAACACATGCAGCTGGTGGAGGAAAAAAAAATGGACAGCGGTATTTAAAAAGACACATTTTATAAAACAGTGGCTACACTCTTTCAGGGTAAACCTTGCTGTTAACATTACATACATAGCACATGTGCTTTCGTTACAAGGTCGCATTTTGCCTCCTCCCACCACGTGACTACCCCCTCAACCTTCCCCCCTCCCTGTGGCTAACAGCGGGGAACATTTCTGTTTAGCCACAGGCAAACAGCCCAGCAGGAATGGGCTCCTCTGAGTGTCCCCTGAAGAAAAGCACTCTATTTCAACCAGGTGACCATGAATTAGATCTCACTCTCCTGAGGATAACACAGAGAGATAAAGAACGGATGTTGTTTGAATGCCAGCAAACATACACTGCAATGCTTTGTTCTACAATGATTCCCGAGTACGTGTTACTGGCCTGGAGTGGTAAAGTGTCCTACCATGAAGGACGCAATAAGGCTGCCCTCCCCAGAAACCTTTTGCAAAGGCTTTAGGACTACATCTAGGAGAACCGCAAATGCCAGGGCAAAGTAATCCTTTCACATGCTTGCTTTTAAACCATGTATAGTATTTTAAAAGGTACACTCACCAGAGGTCCCTTCTCCGCCTGCTGGGTCCAGGAGGCAGCCTTGGGTGGGTTCGGGGGGTACTGGCTCCAGGTCTAGGGTGAGAAACAGTTCCTGGCTGTCGGGAAAACCGGTTTCTCCGCTTGCTTGCTGTGAGCTATCTACAACCTCATCATCATCATCATCTTCTTCGTCCCCAAAACCTGCTTCCGTATTGCCTCCATCTCCATTGAAGGAGTCAAACAACACGGCTGGGGTAGTGGTGGCTGAACCCCCTAAAATGGCATGCAGCTCATCATAGAAGCGGCATGTTTGGGGCTCTGACCCAGAGCGGCTGTTTGCCTCTCTGGTTTTCTGGTAGGCTTGCCTCAGCTCCTTCAGTTTCACGCGGCACTGCTTCGGGTCCCTGTTATGGCCTCTGTCCTTCATGCCCTGGGAGATTTTCACAAAGGTTTTGGCATTTCGAAAACTGGAACGGAGTTCTGATAGCACGGATTCCTCTCCCCAAACAGCGATCAGATCCCGTACCTCCCGTTCAGTCCATGCTGGAGCTCTTTTGCAATTCTGGGACTCCATCATGGTCACCTGTGCTGATGAGCATGGTCACCTGCAGCTTGCCACGCTGGCCAAACAGGAAATGAGATTCAAAAGTTCGCAGTTCTTTTCCTGTCTACCTGGCCAGTGCATCTGAGTTGAGAGTGCTGTCCAGAGCGGTCATAATGGAGCACTCTGGGATAGCTCCCGGAGGCCAATACCATCGAATTGTGTCCACAGTACCCCAAATTCGAGCCGGCAACGTCGATTTAAGCGCTAATCCACTTGTCAGGGGTGGAGTAAGGAAATCGATTTTAAGAGCCCTTTAAGTCGAAATAAAGGGCTTTATTGTGTGGACGGGTGCAGGTTTACATCGATTTAACGCTGCTAAATTCGACCTAAAGTCCTAGTGTAGACCAGGCCTAAGGTGTGTTTGCTACTCCCTTTAAACAATGAAGTTACTCTCGTTAGAATGATGTTCAATCCTGGAAGGATTAACATTCCATTCAAGCCCGTCAGATTGGGGAACTCTCTGTGGAACAGTTGGACTGTGAAGATTAGTGTGCAGTTGATGAAAATAAATGCCTGCAGTTATGCATACTAGATGAACATGAATTATTAAATGAAAGAAATATAATCCTCAAGTCCTAGACAATATATCTTGATCACAACTGTATGCAGAATAAGTAGTATGACCGAGATAGTCAAAGCTAGAAACGAAAGGTTATGTGCAAGTTGCCCAGCTAGCTGATGTACTCTTAGGTCACTCATCTCCCATGACTGAAAGAAAATCATTGTAACAGGTGGCAACAGCTGCTTTCAAGACTATAGTAGCTGCAACAAGAGAATGACTACACAGATATGTGAAAGTGCCTCAGGTTTGTCATGGTTCAAAGTATTTGAAATCCAGATTAAAGTCAGAGTTCAATGACAGGCAGGTTTTGCAAATTCTGCTTTCATTAAAACTGAAATTAATAGGGTTGCACCGGTGTAAATAAGAGCAGAATTTGGTCCTCTGCGTTTAAATTAAATATTCAGATAATATAATGCCTATAATAATATCTGGTCAGCATGGGAAACAATTTAAAGTTATGATTCAGAAAATTTATGACAAATAGTCAAGGCTGAGATTTTCAGATCATACTTTATAAGACACATTTATAAAAAGTTTATAAAGGGCTAGTCAGTGATCAATAGATATTGGAAACCTACTACAGGTATGAGTAGCATTAGAGACTGTCAGCAGCACATTCGTGGTAGGTTTTATAGAACGTTTAAAGCCATGGTTATTTGGCTTGGCTTGTTAGACTCTAACAATTGATTAACCATTATTAAAACATCTATTACTCATTTATTAACCCTTCATAATTTTTTTTAAATGTAACCTTAATATAAAATGTGATTTTTTTTTCAAATCTTCCCTAAGAGAACTGGATGCTCAATTGCCATTAAAACTAATGGGAATTTGGTATCCATATCCCCTAGGTAACTTTAAAAATTTCAGTCTGTGGCACATAGCAACACTTACATTAACATTGCCCAGGATTTTTCATTCTAAAGGGTCATTTTCAGGTTTCTCAATGTTTTAAAGTTTGGGGTGAAGTTTGATACATTTGCTCTCTGTCCCAGAGTGACTTCTGTTCTGAACATTTCACCAAAAACAGATGAGCCATTTTCAAGCATAGTAAATTACATGGTGGGAAAAATGCATTTTTTCTACAAAATCAAAAGATCTGCAAAATGAAGGTGATAAAAATGACATTTGGCAGGGCCAGAGCCTCTAGGACATGTGCTTTTCGGAGGTCTCGTGAACATTAGATCTGATTTGGCTGAGTTATAAGAGTTTAAAAAAAGATATATCACATATGCACACTGTTTTTTGTTACACAATATAAAGAACAATCTGCCAGTGTTCCTTTGGCATTGCACATGCATGTGTAAATAAACCGAGTAGAAATTTCCACAAAAGCTATTCTCTATCACGCACATACTGAAGTGCTTTGCTAAAATTGAACCTTAATCTCTCTGTATATTAGGCCTTGTCTAACCACAAACTTGCATTGGTTTAATTGAAATTGTTTTTCAAACTAATTTAATTAGTGCAAAAGGCTCTGTGGACACTCTTATTCCAGTTTAAACCAGGCTTATTTTGGTTTAGTTAAAGTCAGTTAGGAATTGGTTTAAGTTAAACTGAAATAAGCTACTCTTAAACTGAAATGAGTGTCTATACAGCAGTTTGCACCAGTTTAACAAAATCAATTAAAAAACCCAATTCAAGTTAAACCAACACAGCTTTCTCATGTAGACAAGCCCTTAGTTCCTCATCTCTAAAGTGAGGACAATAACACTACCCTACCAAACAGGAAGTTGTGAGGCTAATTTTATTAATGTTGAGACACTGAGACACTATGGTCATAAGAGCTTTTCATAGAATCATGGAATCTCAGGGTTGGAAGGGACCTCTGGAAGTCATCTAGTCCAATCCCCTGCTCAAAGCAGGACCAATCCCCAATTTCTGCCCCAGATCCCTAAACGGTCCCCACAAGGATTGAACTCTCAACCCTGGGTTTAGCAGGCCAATGTTTTTTAATGTAAGGTTTTTTTGAAATATGATATTATAATAATAATAATTGTAATACTTGTAATAATAATAATTAATTGAGTTTATAACTCAAGTAAAGCAGTTTAAAATGTCATATACTGTACAGTACAACATACTCCCAGAAAATTTTTCAAAAGCAGTTTTTGTCTGGGGTTGCCAGTTTTGGTTGGACCTATTCTTGGAGGTTTCATCACCTGACATAATCTTTAAGTAAAGATTAATCTTTAATTCCTGGAGATTCCAGGCTAATCCTGGAGGGTTGGCAACCCTATGTCTTGTCATCAGTGGTATGGAAGCTGAATATCAGTTTCTATTCTACATATTTCTAACAATGATTCTGTGGCAGAGGTCTGATTATGTTCTGTTCTATCCTGCTGACAGGAGAGCTTCATAGAAGACATCTTCTCTAATTCAGATCAAATTCACCTTTCAGTTCTGTTGATGTAATTGAGAGCCAAATTTGTCCTACCTTTTATATTGTCTGTCTTGTCCATATTTTCTCAAGGACCAGTGCAGCCTCAACATTATCCCAAGCCTGCTTCTACCAAAGTCAATGGGAGTGAGTGAGGTTTTTGTTTGTTTTTTTTTGTTTTGCATTTTTGCAATTTTGTGATTTCCTAGCCTCTGAATATCTTTGCATGAAAATATATTTTCAGTACTCATTCAAATGAATATTGGTGATCTATTAAAAGTGGCGTGCAAGGGGGGGAATGATTTTGTGCTGTCTTTTTTTTTTTTTTTTTTTTGGCTTGTTCATGATGGGTAAAGAAAGTATGAGTTTCCCTGCCCCCACCAAAATAATTTCCCTCCCACTTATTTTAAATATAGTGAAAATAGTGCCTGGAGGATTTTAAAGGGCTAAATAAAACAGATTTAAATTAATGCAGATTTTATTGTTACTTTCTTTTGCAGTTTCCTGAGAATGAAGATTTTGAAACTATTTAATTTCATCCTTGCAAATTGCTTAATAACGGCCATTGGTAACTCGGTAAGTTTTACTAATTCCAATCGTATTTATAATGCCCTTGTTTATTTCTAACAGTATAGAAGAGGTCAAGAATAAGTTACATTATTCTTATGTCTAAATTTTCCTCTAGCAATAGGTTAACTTCAAAAAGTTCAGAAGGATTGTCTGGAGAAGCACCCAAAAGTTTGGGCGATATAACAAACATCCAAATCAGTCAGATTTCTTGGACCTGGAAATCTCCTGAGACTGAGCTTTGTGGGAGCAGACTTCTGTGGCAGTAATTCCTGTTGTGGTCAGGCTGGAACTAGCACAAGAACAGTCTCTCAAATTCTTACATTCTGGCACTTCCGTTTCTAGTTCTGGTAGAAAGAAGAGTGGAAACAAATGAAAATTAAATCAAATGAAGGGGGAAAGTCTAGGTTTGCTTCATTTCTGTGCAAGTTCACTGACCGCAGTGGAAAAAATCATTACATTAGCATGAAGTCCATTTTCTTTCTTTTAGTTTTTGGTGGGAAGCTTCTGGACTCTGGTTGACTTTGAAGTAAATAAACTGGGAGCACTGTAAAACTAATCCCAGGGTTTTCACCACTTCAAGGATGCATAGCATTTCATCTCATTAAAATCCTCAAAAAGAGGAAAATACAAATGAAAATTCAGTGAAAGATCCTTTAAGTCCTTAGCCTAATTTAAAGGTGTCTTTTACTGCAAGGATGTTAGTTCCTAAAGAGTTACAAAATGAAGAAATAAAGGGTACATGTGCATATTAATAGCATCAACTGGGTTAAATATGGGACAATGTGTCCAAGAACAGATCTGTCAGCAGCCCTTGAATAATTGCTTCTAAATGTATAGAATAAACAATTGTAGTCAGTAAAGCAGACAAAAGAAGCTATGTTCAATCTGGTTTAAATCAGTGGTACTACTATTCACTAGAGACAGAGCCACAACCAAATAACATTTCTCTAATTATTATAGTATCATAATATTTTTGCTTTGATTCATGTGTTGACTAAAGAAAGGAAAAGGAAAAGCAATCTGTTTTTGCCAAAGATTCTTGTACTATATGCCTGGGGCCAGAGTCACCATTTTATTACTCTATTTTTACACTGGACTAACTCCAGTGATTTCAGTGGAGTTATCCGGGGTAAAACTGGAGTAACAGGCCCCTAATCTACACATCTGAGAGCCAGGCTGATCCACATTAAAGTTATAGAACTGGTTTCTGATTGTCCCCATGGGAATAGGTCCAGTATTCCAGATATGAGACCCTTATTATTGCTGCTCATCAACAAAGCCTTATAGGTCCTGTTTGGAGTTCAGCGAAAGAGAGACCAAAAACTCGAAGTTAGTACTGTTCATGCATAGCTAGACAGATACTGTTTTATTCTTTTTCTGGTCAGTCAGTTTCTTATTACGGTACTAGCTGTCCAACACCGCTGATAGGCACCTAATATCCACTAACATGGGGATCTTCGAGCTCTTGTATCCAGGGTATTTTTACATAGTGTATTCCAGTTTCTACCATAACTGGCTACACAAGGTGGAAAGCAGTGGAGATTATTCAGGCTCTGTGTTGGTCTTTCACTTTCATGAGCTCTAAATTGCAAATATTTAAAGTAAATAAAAAGAAAACTTCAGTTTAAAATCCAAAGTTTAGAATAACAGCATGTAGAGACTTAAAATATCTTCAAATGATACTGATAAGTAATTTAGACTCAAAATAAGTGATAGACCTCCATTTATTTATGCCCTCCAGATTTGAATTAATCTTTCCCCCCCAAAAGTCTCTTCTGTATTATCAAGATTATATAAAATAAACATTAACTTCCGATTATTGCTAATTTTCTTGGAATCTTGGGGTATGTCTACACTACAAAATTAGGTCGAATTTATAGAAGTTAGTTTTTTAGAAATCGTTTTTATATATTCGAGTGTGTGTGTCCCCACAGAAAATGCTCTAAGTGCATTAAGTGCATTAACTCGGCGGAGTGCTTCCACAGTACCGAGGCAAGCGTCGACTTCCGGAGTGTTGCACTGTGGGTAGCTATCCCACAGTTCCCGCAGTCTCTGCTGCCCATTGGAATTCTGGGTTGAGATCCCAATGCCTGATGGGGCTAAAACATTGTCGCGGGTGGTTCTGGGTACATATCGTCAGGCCCCCGTTCCCTCCCTCCCTCCATGAAAGCAGCAGCAGACAATCGTTTCGCGCCTTTTTTCTTGAGTTACCTGTGCAAACGCCATACCACGGCAAGCATGGAGCCTGCTCAGGTAACTGTCACCGTATGTCTCCTGGGTGCTGGCAGACGTGGTACTGCATTGCTACACAGCAGCAGCAACCCATTGCCTTGTGGCAGCAGTACAGTAGGATTGGTAGCTGTCGTTGTCATGTCCGAGGTGCTCCTGGTCGCCTCTGTGGGGACGAAATTTGGAGTGACTTGACCAGGTCATTCTCTTTAGTCCTGCAGTCAATCCTATTGAACCATCTGATGGTGAGCAGGCAGGTGATACAGATTGCTAGCAGTCCTATTGTGTCATCTTCTGCCGGGCAGACAAGAGATGTGGATGGCTTGCAGTCCTTCTGCACCATCTGCTGCCAGCCAAAGATGTAAAAGATAGATGGAGTGGATCAAAACAAAAAATAGACCAGATTTGTTTTGTACTCATTTCCCAACACCGCCCCACCCCGCTGTCTAGGGGACTCATTCCTCTAGGTCACACTGCAGTCACTCACAGAGAAGATGCAGCGAGGTAAATCTAGCCATGTATCAATCAGAGGCCAGACCAACCTGCTTGTTCCAATAAGAACAATTACTTAGGTGCACCATTTCTTATTGGAACCATCCGTGAAGTCCTGCCTGAAATACTCCTTGATGTAAAGCCACCCCCTTTGTTGATTTTAATTCCCTGTAAGCCAACCCTGTAAGCCATGTCATCAGTCGCCCCTCCCTCGGTCAGAGCAACGGCAGACAATCGTTCCGCGCCTTTTTTCTGTGCGGACGCCATACCAAGGCAAGCATGGAGGCCGCTCAGCTCACTTTGGCAATTAGGAGCACATTAAACACCACACGCATTATCCAGCAGTATATGCAGCACCAAAACCTGACAGAGCGATACCGGGTGAGGAGGCGATGTCAGCACGGTCACGTGAGTGATCAGGACATGGACACAGATTTCTCTGAAAGCGTGGGCCCTGCCAATGCATGCATCATGGTGCTAATGAGACAGGTTCATGCGATGGAATGCTGATTCTGGGCTCGGGAAACAAGCACAGACTGGTGGGACCGCATAGTGTTGCAGGTCTGGGACAATTCCCAGTGGCTGCAAAACTTTCGCATGCGTAAGGGCACTTTCATGGAACTTTGTGACTTGCTTTCCCCTGCCCTGAAGCACATGAATACCAAGATGAGAGCAGCCCTCACAGTTGAGAAGCGAGTGGCGATAGCCCTGTGGAAGCTTGCAACGCCAAACAGCTACCGGTCAGTCGGGAATCAATTTGGAGTGGGCAACTCTACTGTGGGGGCTGCTGTGATGCAAGTAGCCCATGCAATCAAAGATCTGCTGATATTAAGAGTAGTGACCCTGGGAAATGTGCAAGTCATAGTGGATGGCTTTGCTGCAATGGGATTCCCTAACTGTGGTGGGGCCATAGACGGAACCCATATCCCTATCTTGGCACCGGAGCACCAAGCCGGCGAGTACATAAACCGCAAGCACTTTTCAATAGTGCTGCAAGCTCTGGTGGATCACAAGGGACGTTTCACCAACATCAATGTGGGATGGCTGGGCAAGGTACATGACGCTCGCATCTTCAGGAACTCTGGTCTGTTTCAAAAGCTGCAGGAAGGGACTTTATTCCCAGACCAGAAAATAACTGTTGGGGATGTTGAAATGCCTATAGTTATCCTTGGGGACCCAGCCTACCCCTTAATGCCATGGCTCATGAAGCCGTACACAGGCAGCCTGGACAGTAGTCAGGAGCTGTTCAACTACAGGCTGAGCAAGTGCAGAATGGTGGTAGAATGTGCATTTGGACGTTTAAAGGCGCGCTGGCGCAGTTTACTGACTCGCTTAGACCTCAGCGAAACCAATATTGCCACTGTTATTACTGCTTGCTGTGTGCTCCACAATATCTGTGAGAGTAAGGGGGAGACGTTTATGGTTGAGGCAAATCGCCTGGCTGCTGGTTACGCGCAGCCAGACACCAGGGCGGTTAGAAGAGCACAGGAGGGCGCGGTACGCATCAGAGAAGCTTTGAAAACCAGTTTCATGACTGGCCAGGCTATGGTGTGAAAGTTCTGTTTGTTTCTCCTTGATAAAACCCCCAGCCCCTTGGTTCCCCTCCTCCCTTCGATCACCACTTGCAGAGGCAATAAAGTCATTGTTGCTTCACATTCATGCATTCTTTATTCATTCATCACACAAATAGGGGGATGACTACCAAGGTAGCCCAGGAGGGGTGGTGGAGGAGGGAAGGAAAATGCCACACAGCAGTTTAAAAGTTTACAACTTTAAAATGTATTGAATGCCAGCCTTCTGGTTTTTGGGCAATCCTCTGTGGTGGAGTGGCTGGTTGGCTGGAGGCCCCCCCACCGTGTTCTTGGGCGTCTGGGTGAGGAGGCTATGGAACTTGGGGAGGAGGGCAGTTGGTTACACAGGGGCTGTAGTGGCGGTCTGTGCTCCAGCTGCCTTTGCTGCAGCTCAACCATACACTGGAGCATATTGGTTTGATCCTCCAGCAGCCTTAGCATTGAATCTTGCCTCCTTTCATCACGCTGCCACCACATTTGAGCTTCAGCCCTGTCTTCAGCCCGCCACTTATTCTCTTCAGCCCGCCACTTACTCTCTTCAGCCCGCCACCTCTCCTCCCGGTCATTTTGTGCTTTCCTGCACTCTGACATTATTTGCCTCCACGCATTCATCTGTGCTCTGTCAGTGTGGGAGGACAGCATGAGCTCAGAGAACATTTCATCACGAATGCGTTTTTTTATCTTTCTAATCTTCACTAGCCTCTGGGAAGGAGAAGATCCTGTGATCATTGAAACACATGCAGCTGGTGGAGAAAAAAAATGGACAGCGGTATTTAAAAAGACACATTTTATAAAACAATGGCTACACTCTTTCAGGGTAAATCTTGCTGTTAACATTACATACATAGCACATGTGCTTTCGTTACAAGGTTGCATTTTGCCTCCCCCCACCGCGTGGCTACCCTCTCAACCCTTCCCCCTCCCCGTGGCTAACAGCGGGGAACATTTCTGTTCAGCCACAAGCAAACAGCCCAGCAGGAACGGGCACCTCTGAGTGTCCCCTGAAGAAAAGCACCCTATTTCAACCAGATGACCATGAATGATATCTCACTCTCCTGAGGATAACACAGAGAGATAAAGAACGGATGTTGTTTGAACGCCAGCAAACATACACTGCAATGCTTTGTTGCACAATGATTCCCGAGTACGTGCTACTGGCCTGGAGTGGTAAAGTGTCCTACCATGGAGGACACAATAAGGCTGCCCTCCCCAGAAACCTTTTGCAAAGGCTTTGGGAGTACATCCAGGAGAGCCGCGAATGCCAGGGCAAATTAATCCTTTCACATGCTTGCTTTTAAACCATGTATAGTATTTTAAATGGTACACTCACCGGAGGTCCCTTCTCTGCCTGCCAGGTCCAGGAGGCAGCCTTGGCTCCAGGTCCAGGGTGAGAAACAGTTCCTGGCTGTCGGGAAAACCGGTTTCTCTGCTTGCTTGCTGTGAGCTATCTACAACCTCATCATCATCCTCATCTTCTTCGTCCCCAAAACATGCTTCCATGTTGCCTCCATCTCCATAGAAGGAGTCAAACAACATGGCTGGGGTAGTGGTGGCTGAACCCCCTAAAATGGCATGCAGCTCATCGTAGAAGCGGCATGTTTGGGGCTCTGACCTGGAGCGGCCATTCGCCTCTCTGGTTTTCTGGTAGGCTTGCCTCAGCTTCTTAAGTTTCATGTGGCACTGCTTCAGGTCCCTGTTACGGCCTCTGTTCTTCATGCCCTGGGAGATTTTGACAAAGGTTTTGGCATTTCAAAAACTGGAACGGAGTTCTGATAGCACGGATTCCTCTCCCCATACAGCGATCAGATCCCATACCTCCCGTTCAGTCCATGCTGGAGCTCTTTTGCAATTCTGGGACTCCATTCATGGTCACCTCTGCTGATGAGCTCTGCATGGTCACCTGCAGCTTGCCACGCTGGCCAAACAGGAAATGAGATTCAAAAGTTCGCGGTTCTTTTCCTGTCTACCTGGCCAGTGCATCTGAGTTGAGAGTGCTGTCCAGAGCGGTCACAATGGAGCACTCTGGGATAGCTCCTAGAGGCCAATACCGTCGAATTGTGTCCACAGTACCCCAAATTTGACCGGGCAAGGCCGATTTAAGCGCTAATCCACTTGTCAGGGATGGAGTAAGGAAATCAATTTTAAGAGCCCTTTAAGTCGAAAAAAAGGGCTTCATCATGTGGACAGGTGCAGGTTTACATTGATTTAATGCTGCTAAATTCGACCTAAAGTCCTAGTGTAGACCAGGGCTTGGTTAAGTGATTCAGTTAAGGACTAAGAGTCATGGGTTCTGGACTCTGTCAGTGACTCGCTGTGTGACCTTGGGCATATTATTTAACTTTCTATGCCTCAGTTTATCCATCTGTATTATTATTTATTGCTTGTATTATAGTAGCACCTCGGAGACCTGGTCTAAGACTGTAGATCCTTTGTGCAAGGTACTGTATAAACACAGAACAAAAAGACAATCCCTGCCCCAATCTAAGTATAAGCCAAGAGACAGCAGAGATACAGACAGACAAAAGGGAAGTACAAGGAAACAAAGAGAATATTGGTCAGCCTCAGAGGCTGTGGTCTCAGCATACTATTAGCCTACCATTGTCAAGTTTTTTGTAGCATCACAGCAAAGGAAAGTTTTAAATAGGGATCGGAAGGAGAACAGTTATGTTTACGGGAGCTCCTTTCAAGAGTGAGGGGCAGCAGGAGAAAAAGCACAAACGTGTTTGTTTGAAAATTTAACAAGGGGGAATGGAGGCTGATATTATGGGCTGATCAGAGGCAAGAGGCAACCTTTTGACATTGAATGAGAGATGATAAGTTGGGGGGCAGGGGAAATAGGCCATGAAGGGCCTGAAAGTGAAGACAAGTAGCTTATTTTTATACAATAGAGATGTGGGAGCCAATTAAGAGATACAAAAAGAGAGAGAACATGGTCAAAACAATGGACTAGGAACATGATCTTTGTAGCAGCATTCTGAATGGATCTGACTGGGACATGACTGCATTTCTCAAGGCCAGAGAAAAGGATGTTGCAGTACCTGAGACATGAAATTATGACAGCCTGGATGAGAGTTTTGGCTGTGTGAATAGATCAGAAAGGCCATATCTTAGAGATGTTTCACAGAAAGAATCTGCAAGATTTAGACATAAATGGACATGAGGAGTCAGAGAGAGGTCAGAGTCCAAGATGATGCCCTGGTTATGGACCTGAGTGGACAGGTAGAATGATGGTGATGTCCTCAGTGATCAAGAAAGGAGATAGCAAGAAGGATTTTGTGGGAAGGGAAAGGAGAAGAAAGGAGAAGATTAAGAACTCTGTTCTAGCCATGTAGAGCAAGACGTCCACTGCTTTCCCTTCATCCACAGAACCAGTTGGACATGTGGACGTGTTGGTAGCCAGGAACACCCATAAACCCAGGATCTGGTCCAAGAAGTTCTTATGCTTGGTGACATCTCCTCATCTCTGTCAGGACGACTGGAAAAAGGCTAATGTAGTGCCCATCTTTAAAAAAAGGGAAGAAGGAGGATCCTGGGAACTACAGGCCAGTCAGCCTCACCTCAGTCCCTGGAAAAATCATGGAGCAGGTCCTCAAGGAATCAATTCTGAAGCACTTAGAGGAGAGGAAAGTGATCAGGAACAGTCAGCATGGATTCACCAAGGGCAAGTCATGCCTGACTAATCTAATTGCCTTCTATGACAAGATAACTGGCTCTGTGGATGAAGGGAAAGCAGTGGACGTGTTGTTCCTTGACTTTAGCAAAGCTTTTGACACTGTCTCCCACAGTATTCTTTCCAGCAAGTTAAAGTAATATGGGCTGGATGAATGGACTATAAGGTGGATAGAAAGCTGGCTAGATTGTCGGGCTCAACAGGTAGTGATCAATGGCTCCATGTCTAGTTGGCAGCCGGTATCAAGTGGAGCGCCCCAAGGGTCGGTCCTCGGGCTGGTTTTGTTCAATATCTTCATAAATGATCTGGAGGATGGTGTGCATTGCACCCTCAGCAAGTTTGCAGATGACACTAAACTAGGAGAAGAGGTAGATACGCTGGAGGGTAGGGATAGGATACAGAGGGACCTAGACAAATTGGAGGACTGGGCCAAAAGAAATCTGATGAGGTTCAACAAGGACAAGTGCAGAGTTCTGCACTTAGGACGGAAGAATCCAATACACCGCTACAGACTAGGGACCGAATGGCTCGGCAGCAGTTCTGCAGAAAAGGACCTAGGGGTTACAGTGGACGAGAAGCTGGATATGAGTCATCAGTGTGCCCTTGTTGCCAAGAAGGCCAATGGCATTTTGGGATGTATAAGTAGGGGCATTGCCAGCAGATTGAGGGACGTGATCATTCCCCTCTATTTGACACTGGTGAGGCCTCATCTGGAGTACTGTGTCCAGTTTTGGGCCCCACACTACAAGAAGGATGTGGAAAAATTGGAAAGAGTCCAGCGGAGGGCAACAAAAATTATTAGGGGACTGGAACACATGAGTTATGAGGAGAGGCTGAGGGAACTGGGGATGTTTAGTCTACGGAAGAGAAGAATGAGGGGGATTTGATAGCTGCTTTCAACTACCTGAAAGGGGGTTCCAAAGAGGATGGCTCTAGACTGTTCTCAGTGGTAGCAGATGACAGAACAAGGAGTAATGGTCTCAAGTTGCAGTGGGGGAGATTTAGGTTGGATATTAGGAAAAACTTTTTCACTAGGAGGGTGGTGAAACACTGGAATGCGTTACCTAGGGAGGTGGTGGAATCTCCTTCCTTAGAAGTTTTTAAGGTCAGGCTTGACAAAGCCCTGGCTGGGATGATTTAATTGGGGATCGGTCCTGCTTTGAACAGGGGGTTGGACTAGATGACCTCCTGAGGTCCCTTCCAACCCTGATATTCTATGATTCTATGATTCTATGATGCTATGATTCACATCACCATCGGAAGCTCAGGATGGGTTTCTGCTAAAGGAGTCTGTGAAGTTGCATGCTGCAGGATATACACCCAGAAGGGCCTGAGTGGTAGCCCCCCAGAGCCCACTGATTGGCTCATGCTGGTATATAGGAAGTCATCATAGAAAGCTGTCTGAGCAATGATGCAAACTATTTGCTTGCTTCTGCTCCAGACCTTGTCTTGCTGTGAACCACAGACTCTGCTACTTGCCTCCTCTATGCAACTCAGCACCTGACCCTGACTTCCAGGCATCCTGACCCTGCCTGACCTGATCTGACCCTGACTCCGCTACTTGCCTCCTGTCTGCAACACAGTGCCTGACTCTAACTTCCTGGCATCTTGACCTGGCTTGACGCAACTCTGCTACTCATCTCCTGACTGCAGCTTGGTAACTGACCCATGCAGACAGACTGCCCAAGGCCCAGCCCTGACACTGAGACAAGCTGAGATTTTAGTTTGGACAGAAAGAGACAGGTCTGGAGCAGAGAGGTACTATACTGGCTAGTCTACACTGGCCACAGCAGCGCTTTAACGTGGCTTGTGTAGTCACAGCAGAGCGCTGGGAGACAGCTCTCCCAGCATTCTAAAAAACTACCTCCAGGAGGGGCGTAGCTACCAGCGCTGAGAGCACAGCTCCTAGCGCTGGTGCCCCTGTCTACACTGAAACTTGCTGCCCTCGGGGGTGTGTTTTTTCACACCCCTGAGCGAGAAAGTTGCAGTGCTGTAAAGTGCCAGTGTAGACAATCCCTAAATTGTAGAGATAGTAGTTAAATTTGTGTTTGTAGATGAGATTACCCAAAGTAAATAGATGGTGTAGAGGAAGAATAGAAGAGGACAAAGTACGGAGCCCTGTGGAACCCCAGAGAAAACTGAGGATATCCTCCAAAGAACCTTCTGAAGGAGCAATTAGAGAGGTAGGAGGACAATCAGGAGAGGGCAGAGTCATGGAAGCCAAGGGAGGACAAGATTTCAAGAAGAAGAGTATGGTTGACTGTGTCGAAGGTGGCTAACAGGTCAAAGAGAATGAGGATGGAGTTCTGATCCTCAGCTTTGGCTAAAAGGTCATCTGTAAAATTATGATAATACTTCTCTACATCCCAGGAGTGTTTAGAGACTTAATTAATTAATTTTTTAAGCACTCAGATCTTCATTTGAAATGCACTATAGAAACAAAAAATATTGTATAATTTTTAAAAATAATTATTAAGATCCTATATGGCTAAATTTTACAAACCCTCTAACTTTGTCACTCACAGTTTTGCTTCTGCAAAAACTGACATTTTTGAGTGCAAATGCTTCTGTGCATGAAAACTAAGCAGCTAGATCTCTAACTGATTGACATGGTCATGCAAGTGCTGTGTGTGTATGCAAGATCCACAAGCAGTTCTGTGTGTAAAACTGTTGGAGCAAATGTGGCACCTGTGTTGAGGGCACTTCAAAAATTTGGCTCATATTATTTTGGGCTTTGCTAATGAAGAGCCAGCAGAGGGAGCATGAGCATTTTACACTTACATCAAACAGGATAAGAAATACAATCAAAACTACTAGTATGCTGTGAGGCAAAAGTACCCATTCCCTGAAGCTGAAAAAAATACCGTCTCTCATAAGTCATCTGTAAGAATTTTGCAGTAAGAATCACTTGACCAACAAGGACCATCTAATAAGTTTCAGAGTAGCAGCCGTGTTAGTCTGTATTCGCCAAAAGAAAAGGAGTACTTGTGGCACCTTAGAGACTAACAAATTTATTTGAGCATAAGCTTTCGTGAGCTGTAGCTCACTTCATCGGATAAAGTGAGCTGTAGCTCACGAAAGCTTATGCTCAAATAAATTTGTTAGTCTCTAAGGTGCCACAAGTACTCCTTTTCTTTTTTCATCTAATAAGTGACGCTTATCAGCTTTTCAGGAGTATATTACTGTATTGTCTATCATTGTGCCCATTGTTACTGACACCTGGAAAAGATTTTCAAGGCACTATTCAAATAAGTTAGGGCTCTGGGGGTTAATAGGCCACTGAAGGGCTTGTGTGTGTCTCTGGTGAGTTTTAGGATTTGGTCAACTAGCTCATCTCACAACTTCTTGTGGCCAAAGGTCCTGCTGCCTGCTCAGCATGGCTTAGGTGCAAGCAGCCAGCTGGTACGGAACTTACTCCATAGCTGAATCTGGTCCAAAGATTTTTATGGAGTTTTCAAAAATGCATCACACTGGCACATGCAGTAAACCCTCTGCTCTTCAACAGGTTCCTGAAAAACTACCTTATCCTGCCATATGTGTTCCAGGCTGCTAACCATCATCATTATATACTGGATTATAACACAGTATGAATTAAATTAAAAGCAAACATCTGAGATACAACACAAACATTTGGAATGAAGGCATGTGATCAGGATTGCGCTGCAGAGCCAACATGCCTGAAGCAACAAATACTCATCTAAGGGAACCTTGAATATTAAAAGAAAATAACATTTTATATAAAAAAATCATTATAACAAACCCATTTGAAGTGATTCTTTATCTCTTGCCTAAAAAGATCAACTCTTCTCTCTTTTCAATCTCCTACTCTAAGTTGGTCAACAAAGTGAATTGCATCGTCTAGAATGAAAAAGCAATGCGGTCTGGCCTCCTGTAATAATCTTGAGTCTTACCAGAAACAATGGGCCATGTCTATGTAAAATGGATCATGAGTGTTTATTGGTTGTAGTAAAAGCCCCTCTTCTTTTTAACTAACGCTAAAGTATAATCATGTGTTAACTTCTCAGTTTGTGGAATCTTATGAGTGCTGTGTGTCTTAATTAAGAATCCTATTCTCAGAGCTGTACAGACATTAATGATGGTGCTGATTCACCAACAAGGAAGCAAATCTATAGAGAAACATGCTGGTTTGTGCTGCATTTGGATGCACTGGAGGGAACCTATGTCTGTCAAATTGAATAGGACAAAATTAGTATGGAAAGACATTTGGTTTTTTTGCAACTGTGTGAAGTGAGTGCAAAACACTACTATTATGTTCACGGCATACACAAAGAGAAATTAAATAAAAACATAGATTCTCTTGCAGGAAGGTTGCAGCATCATGCTTCATTTCTTAGCTCTAGATCCCCCTAGCCAACAGGCAGGACTAGGATCCCCCCTCCACCACCACCATTCAGACTGATAGCCTGTGATTCCAACACGGTCTTCAATACACCAAAACTACCAGATCAGAATGCAGTAGTATAATCAAGGGTAAACAAAGTTTACCCACTTCTCATTGGGAAATATGGAGTGTAGGTTTACCCATTTCTTTCTGTACCACCACACCACTGCCAGAATGTTAGCATTTCACACCAGCCTTGCCCTGGTGTAACTGATTAAATGAGTAGTAGGATAACAGTGAATCACGTTCTTTGTACTTAGCATTTATTCTTCATGTTCATCAGCAACTTGTGAATGATCATAATTTTTTTTTTGTGAGCGCTGGCAGTGGGTGTGGAGCTGTACAATCCATGCATAAAGGAAGTCTGAGTCCATACCCTAAGAACCTTGTACTCTAAAATGAAATGAAAGTCAGACATAATGGTGTTTAGAGAGCAAAGCTGAAAAAGTACCAGTGTCCAGATTATATTTCCTGAGACCCTTGGGGACTACAAGGTTTGGGGAAGATCCCACTACCTGTTCTCTGGGGACTAAACCCTGTCCCTGACAGGAAGATGGGGGGAGACAATTCTATGAAGGGATCCTTACAGTAACATTCTCCACCAGAGTCCCCTCCTGCAGATTTTCCTGTGGGAGTGGATCATCCATCCCCATGATATAAGAGCTGGTCTCTAAGCGGTGTAAATTCCTTATTTATAAAATATATAAATGGATTATTGTTTAAAGACTCCATGGAAGAAGAGTGTTTTAAGGAGAAGTCTGAGAAAGTGATGGTGGATGTTTGGCCACCCTGTAATATACTTGATAACTTTAAATAAAGGGGGGGAATGCTAATCATAATCAATTTCTACAGTGACTGGTGAGAACTGCCTTCTTGAATCAAGTGGTTTATTAATGCTAAACACACTGTGACAAATGTTAACTCTACAAGCAAAAGTGCATTTTCCCCTCTAGACTCTACAGAGTTGTTTTCAAGAGCAGCTGAGGCTCAAGGCCCAGGTGAGACTTCTGGAGTATCGTGTGAAACAGCAGCAGGTAAAAATAGTGCAGCTCTTACGGGAGAAGGAGATTCAATACAGTGACACCGGAGATGAAAACAGTGTTATTGACCTGGGAGAAAAAAGACAATACGCAGGTTAGAATTTATTTCTTCTTTTCACATTGTGTCTATTTGAACTCGTGTGTATGTTTCCATGGCCAGTACAACAGAGACTTCAGCGTTACAGTGATGCTTTACAATTCCCCCAGGAAACTGTCCCACCAAGACATAGCATTCAGCTATTATCCAGGCCTTTGTTGTCTTGAGATCAGATTGTGCAATGCATTCTACATGGAGCTACACCTTAAAACTGTCCAGAAACTGAAGTTGCTGCAGAACATTCCAGCATGCTTTTTTAAATGCTATCTTGCCAAATTATACCTGCTCTAGATCTGTACTAGCTACCTGTTGGCTTCTGAGTAGATTTTAAGGTGATAACCTTAGACTTTAAGGTGACCTATAAAAACCTAAGAAACCGGACAGCTACCTATCCAAGAATCCACCTCTCCCCCATTGTGTTACTGCTACAGCTGCAGTGAATGATGGCATTCAAGATGGTGCTTCCCTCCGTATAAAATAAAAGGGGCTGGCTGTTTTCCATGAGGGCCCCACAACTTTGGACCTCATTTCCCACCATCTCAGTCCAAAACAGCTGATCTGTTGAATTAAAATTCTAAAACAGGTGAAACTCTAGTAAAAAACAAAAAGTGTAATAAGAGCAGGGAAAGAATTTGTCATGCTTTAAAGAACATGATACAAATAAAGGAATTTAAAAAAAACCCACAGCTATGGTCTGTTGTTTAGAGCCACATTCTTTAGGTATATAAACAGAGCCTGAGCTAAGAGACTGAAGAGAAAGGGCAAAGCCCTTTCAAACATGTTTTTAATCATATTTTTTCAGCTGAAAAATGAGTCTAACTCCCAACTGTTTTCAATTTAATTTTAGGAACACCCAGCAATGCAATACTATATGTCTTGATTTCTCCCAGAAGCATAGACACTACCAGCTCAACCAGGACACATGAAACAAGACTATACAGAACAATAAAAGTTAATAAAACTTTAGAATCCTATTGCTGGGTGACCAGAAGCCAGTACAGACTTCATATAATTTGTATTTGTATTTGTGACCTTAGCTTTAGTTTGGCTGATGATTTCGTTATTCAACTAGATTCTGGGCTCCACTCCAGCTGCTTTGTGCCAGCAGATCTAGCCTCTTTAGGATCCTCCCCACAAGTGCTGTAGAACTACAATGGTAGAAACAGGACTACCTCCAGTACTGAAGAATACAAAGGTGACTTAAAGCCACCATTTCATAAACCCTCCTGCCCTGTGCTGAACTCAGCTCAGCTGGAATGGAGGATTTGATCCTCTGATTTTTGCTACCTTAAGGGTATTGTTAAAATGAGACATAAATAACAGATAGTCAGCTAGGACTGCCACCTTTCTAATGGCTGGTAACCAGACCCTCAAGGCCCTGCACACATCTCCGCCTCTTCCCCCCAAGGCCCTGCTCCATCACTCGCCCCTCTCCCCCCATCCTCCCATCGGATTGCTGTTTCTGAGGTACATCTGCTCACACATCCTAGGGGTAATAAGGACAATCTGCACACACATAGGGGGATTTTCATTTACACTCATTTGAATTTCTTCATTTCCACACACATGCACACAGTGGAAAGTTTGCTTCATTAGCACACTGGTTCTGGAGAGCAGGGGAAGGGAGCTCCCCCTTTTGCACATACAGATGAGGTGAAAGGGAGGACTCCCCCTACATTTACATGGATGCCTAGATAGGGGAAGAGATTCCACTTATTTGCACCAGTACCTAAGAGAGAAGAAGGTCCCACCCACTTGTACACACAGTGGAAGAGTGGAAGGAAGAGAAGCAGATGCTCCCCCATTTGCAGCACACCCACCCAGTTCCTGTGTCCTGCCAAACTCCAGGCTGAGAAACTTACTGAACTTTCCCCAGTTGGGCTGTTGGGAGTGGCTGGGGCAAGGAGGACTGTGGGCTGTGATTCGCTGGGTGGCAGGGCGCTCAGCTATGATTGGCTGGGCTCTGTTCCCCTCCTCACGAGGGTGGTGTGCGTTCTCTGGGTAAGCATCTCTCAAATCAGAAATGAGCAAGTTTCCACAGATCCAAAAAATTGGACATCAGGGCTTGTGAAATGGTACTTGGACACACAAGCTGAAACCCGGACTGTCTGGGTGAAAACCGGATGGGTGGCAATCTTATAGTCAGCTAACAGAAATCTCAGGTTTCTGCCTTTCACCCTTCATAGCCTGCTAAATCTGTGTCTAATACTAGCCAAGTCTAGACAAACACTAACACATGTCAGCCATTTGCCATCTCCAGTCCCGCTGAAGGAGGAGTGAAAGATTAGGAAGGACAGTGGACATAGACCACCCTACAATGACTAAACTACTGAAAATATTTTAAAAATTGTAGTTAGAGACCAGATTTCCAAAGGTATTTAGGTGCCTAAAAATGCTGATAGGCACCTAATAGTATTTCCAAAGGTGCCTAGCCAGGTTAGATGCCTAATTCCCATTGAAAGTCAGCATTAGACACCTAACCTGCTTAAGGGCTTGTGAAAATCCCACAAGGCACTAATCTGCATCTTTAGGTGAATGTGAATATGAATGCCCAATTGTCCGTATAGATGAGATTTTTTTTTTCAGATTAAGAGCCTGATCTAAGTGCATCCTGTAACTGTTATTATTTTTTGTCTTAAAGTAGCATCTAGAGATCCTAACTGAGAGCAGGACCTCATTGTGTTAGGCACTGTATATAAACCTCATAAGACCCTATGCAGAGCTTGCACTTTAAATGGACAAGACAAACAGTGGATGAAAGGAAAGCAGTGCTGAGTACCCTGAACTCCCACTGAAGTAAATCAGCAGGGTCTCTCAGCACAACTGTAGGATTGGGCCCCATTTCATTGTCTCTTCTAATATTCAGGGCGCCATATTTCACACATTATTGCCACATTAACTAGCAAGATATGGAGAACTTAATTATTTTTGGGTTTTTGTTGTCTCTGGTACTATAAAGAAAAATCCCCAAACATATTCCTCCTTTTCCCCATTTGTCCTGTCAACAACGCATCACATTCATTATTAAAACCATTCTGCCAGTGGAAGCAAGCAATCAGCTTCCATGCTGGGTGTGAAGCTCTGGTTTTGATCTAACATCTATAATGCTTACAGGACAGTGAGACTCTTTTAGAGACTGAAAATATTGTTACAGCTGGAGGGCATTTTAAGGTGAGAAAACATCAAAGTGAGCTGTAGCTCACAAAAGCTTATGCTCAAATAAATTGGTTAGTCTCTAAGGTGCCACAAGTACTCCTTTTCTTTTTTGCGAATACAGACTAACACGGCTGTTACTCTGAAACTTAAAATTCAAAAATTGTCATCCAGCCACTTGTTCTAGTCCAAGGCACCATTTTGGCAGTCAAGGGTTCAAAAAAAGAAAAGCTTAATCACAGATTCATATTGAATATCTTCTGTTTCTATAAAAGACGAAGCTACTTTGATAGTTTTCAGGACATTTGTGTTGTAAGAGTACAGCAGGTTTGTTGCAGTTCTAAATAAAATCTTCTCTTCCTTCTGGGTCACCTCATTCAGTCACTACCCGAGTCCTAAAGGGCCAAATCTATCCATAATGTAAATCCATTGAAGTCAATGGACTCATACCAAGAGAATTTAGTCCAGTGGGCCTAATATGCTCTCCTCTCCGCATGCTGCTCTCTCCACTGTTCAGCTACAGTTTTCCCATGTCAGGTGTGTGCAGATAATCAAGAGCCAATACAGACACAAGCAGTTTCTTAGACAGGAAGGTTTGGATGCTTGGATAGCTGAGTTTCCAATGTGTATTATATATATTCCATTCTACAGCATGACATGCCTTCTTATAATAAAGGCATGTCCTCCTCCCTGTGCCAACCCCTAAAACCCAGATTTCACCCCACAATCTTTGGGGGAGAATCTCCCTTCCTGCAATACTAACGGCCCCTTATACAGGAGAAAAGGCCACTGGATTGCTGTATTTATTAATAGTAATATCATTGTTGGTGGGGATGGTTATATATTTGTATAGCATCCACAGTTCACAGGGCACTTCACAGAAAAATAAGGCAGTAAAGTCCTTGCCCCATAGGGCCCGAACCCTTACCTATCTCTATAGTCATGCACAGGCATCTTCAAGGAGCTGAGCACATCATGCTCAAATAAATTTGTTAGTCTCTAAGGTGCCACAAGTCCTCCTTTTCTTTTTGCGAATACAGACTAACACGGCTGCTACTCTGAAACCAGTGGATTAAGCACATTCTTAAGTACAGTGCAGACTTGGGACTCTGCTGAGAAAATCATGAGTGTTTGAAAATTTGAGACTATACTCTAAACTAGTGAAACATTCTTTAAATTCCTCCCATCGACTGGCTTAGATCTTATTTACATTACTTTTCTCTATTATAGTCTGTTCAAACCCTGGCACAGTCTTTTGTTTTCAGTATAAACTGTTTATTTTCTGGTCTAAAACGCACTGGGGCTTTCACAAGGGAGAAAGAAAATAGTTCAGAATGTTCCAAACTGGCCCACAAATGCAATTAAAAAAACAAAATGTTGGCAGAACCCCAGCCAACATGTTCAGCAAGTTTTCAGAGGTAAATCTTACAGTTAATCACCTCTACCTTTGCCAGGAAAAACAGAAAGAGTTGAAAATTGTATGTCTTTTCTGTGTGACTGACAGTCTGAGAGTAGATTAGATATTAACAAAGAACTCCTTTCATATAAAAATTAACTCCTAGGAGGAAAAAAAAGATTATAGAATTATAGAATTATTGTGCATTCATTGGGCCTTATTCTCTGAACCTTAGTCAGTCACTTATACCAATTCAAAGTGAGAGCAAAATAGTATCAAATCACAATGGGAACATTTTACATACCGGAGTATGTGAGTTTGGACTCATGCTTTAGAAGGTGCAATAGTGTACCAGGTTCAATGTTTATTATTTTTCTCCTAACAGTGATGATTCCGTCCTGCTGTTTGTGGCTATTCTACAATGAGCAAAATTCTGTAGTACGTGGAAATCCCACTGAAGTTAGTGGGTGTTTTTACATTTGAGGAGGCTGTACAAACATGTAATTATGGTAATCAATGAAAATGATAAAACACAAAGATAATATGCAAGTTTTATATTTTTACCATACATTGATTATGTTGATGAAGGTCTCTCTTTGTGAAGCTTGTTTTCAGTAATAAGTAAAGGACCTAAAAAAATCCGTTTTCAACTGATATTTTGAAAGCAGATTGTGCAGAGATCTACAACGATGGACATAAACGCAGTGGATTTTACAAGATGAAACCTCTTCAGAGCCCTAGTGAATTCCTCGCCTACTGTGACATGTCAGAAGGGGGAGGCTGGACTGTTTTTCAGAGACGTTCTGATGGCAGCCAGAAATTTGATAGGTAGGTGTTGGAGCCAGCAGTTATAATTACAAACAAACCACAGGTATCTGAGACCAGGTGAGACCAAGTTATACATTAACTCTAAAGCTATCTCCGTAAGGGACGATCAGTGGTGAAAAGAGAGGAATGATGATTTTGTACGTAAGCCACCAGACTGGAACACCAAAGTTCTTGGTTCAATTCCTGACTTTGCCTCAGACTCTATGCCCTGGTCTACACTAGGACTTTAGGTCGAATTTAGCAGCGTTAAGTCGATGTAAACCTGCACCCGTCCACACGATGAAGCCCTTTTTTTCGAATTAAAGGGCTCTTAAAATCGATTTCCTTACTCCACCCCTGACAAGTGGATTAGCGCTTAAATCAGCCTTGCCGGGTCGAATTTGGGGTACTGTGGACACAATTCGACGGTATTGGCCTCTGAGAGCTTTCCCAGAGTGCTCCATTGTGACTGCTCTGGACAGCACTCTCAACTCAGATGCACGATTGTCTGCCGTTGCTCTGACGCAGGGAGGAGCGACTGATGACATGGCTTACAGGGTTGGCTTACAGGGAGTTAAAATCAACAAAGGGGGTGGCTTTACATCAAGGAGTATTTCAGGCAGGACTTCACGGAGGGTTCCAATAAGAAATGGTGCACCTAAGTCATTGTTCTTATTGGAACAAGCAGGTTGGTCTGGCCTCTGATTGATACATGGCTAGATTTACCTCGCTGCATCTTCTCTGTGAGTGACTGCAGTGTGACCTAGAGGAATGAGTCCCCTAGACAGGGGGTGAGGGGGGGGGTTGCAAATAGGTACAAAACAAATCTGGTCTATTTCTTGTTTTGATACACTCCATCTATCTTTTACATCTTTGACTGGCAGCAGACGGTGCAGAAGGACTGCATACCATCCTCATCTCTTGCCTGCCCGGCAGAAGATGGTACAAGAGGACTGCTAGCAATCCGTATCGCCTGCCTGCTCACCATAAGATGATTCAATAGGATTGACTGCAGGACTAAAGAGAATGACTTGATCAAGTCACTCCAAATTTAGTCCCTGCGCCCATGTCTGCCCAGGCGCTCCTGATCGACCTCAGAGAGGCGACCAGGAGACCTCGGACATGACGATGATGGCTACCAGTCCTACTGTACCATATGCTGCCATAAGGCAAGGGGTTGCTGCTGCTGTGTAGCAATGCAGTACCACGTCTGCCAGCACCCAGGAGACATACGGTGACGGTTACCTGAGTGGGCTCCATGCTTGCCGTGGTATGGCGTCTGCACAGGTAACTCAAGAAAAAAGGCGCGAAACGATTGTCTGCCCTTTCTTTTACGGAGGGAGGGAGGGAACGGGGGCCTGATGATATGTACCCAGAACCACCCGCGACAATGTTTTAGTCCCATCAGGCATTGGGATCTCAACCCAGACTTCCAATGGGCAGCGGAGACTGCGGGAACTGTGGGATAGCTACCCACAGTGCAACACTCCGGAAGTCGACGCTTGCCTCGGTACTGTGGAAGCACTCAGCCGAGTTAATGCACTTAATGCACTTAGAGCATTTTCTGTGGGGACACACACACTCGAATATATAAAAACGATTTCTAAAAAACTAACTTCTATAAATTCGACCTAATTTCGTAGTGTAGATATACCCTATGTGTGGCCTTGGGTAAGTTACTTAGGCCCAATTAAAGTAGTTAAGAATTAACCCAACTTTAAGCATCTTTTAAAAACAATCCACTGAAACCCTTGGGACTACTCCTGTGTTTTAAGTGAGGCACATATTTAAGTACCTTGCTGAATCAGGGTCTTAATTATTTTGTTCCTCATTTGTAAAATGGGGATAATAGCAACTACCTACCTCACAGTGTTGCAAGGAAAAAATCAATAATGTTTGAGGTGTTCTGATACTGTGATGATGCGGGGGTATGTAAGTACCTAGATGCTGTACCTAGGAAAGGGGATAATATAGGTAAATTGGATTTATGAGCTGCTGCTCCTTTCCCCACTTATCATGTCCAAATGAATTTTGGCTATATCCTCTCTAATCAGAACACCCACTGACTATCAGTAACATTGGCCTAATTATTTGTAGTTAACACTACAGACACATTAAATTCTAACTATAGTAGGCCACAGCAAAAATGGTCATTTGCTGCACTGGGGTATTTTCTTTGACAGCAGTATTTGTGGTAAATCAGATGTTCATAGCACCACTGTCCCACTGTGTGTAACTAAGTTCATTTTCATGTCATTAATAAGCACTGAAATAGTATCTGACATGTTTAGAGTTCTGTGCAAATACCAAACTAGGGAATCCTTTAAAAAAACACCTGTGACGCAGGTAAGCATATATTAAAAATAGTTGGAAAATTGGGGAGGAGAGAGTGTTCTGTGGAAAACCTGGTCTTTTCAGCAAAAAATTGAAAACCAAAATAGTTTGATTCAGAAATGATATTTCAGTGTCCCATGGGAGTGGTAGTTCAGGCGCCTCATGAGTCTGTTCTCCTCTATAAGCCCAAGCTCCTGGGTTGGACTACATCTCCCATGATGTACCATGTGAATTAGGGAATCCCTGGCTGTGGTGCATCATGGGAGGTGGAGTCTGGCTCGGGAGCCCAACATATAGAGGAGAATGGGAACATGAGGCAACTGAACTACAACTCTCATGAGTCACCATGGTGGCATATCTGAAACAAAATATTTATGTACTTGGCTGAAATATTTCAATTTTTGGCTGAAAACCAAAATCTCTTTGGTTTTCAAGCATTTTTGTGTGTGGATTTTGTGTGCATGGGTTGGGTTTTGTTGTGGTTTGTTTTATTTTATAAATTGGTTTTCAGGCATGAGGGTTCTATAAAAAATTTAAACTTTCTATGTAAAACAGGTACTACTTGGGGGAAAATTATTTTGTTGAAAACCCCATTTTCTGTCTTTTTTTTGACAAAAATATTAACTAGTTTTAGAAAGTATTACTATCCTCATTTTATAAATGGGAAAAACTGAGGTACAAAGAGGTTAGAGACACAATAAGTCAATCTGGGAAAGCGAAGATTAGAATTCAGTAGCTCAAAGTCCTGATTCCCAGCCCTCTGTTCAGTCTGCCAGACAATACTGAGTCCAATATGGTTTTAATATTGTTACATAACTCATACTCAGTTAACATTAATGATGTTACATGCACTACCCTGTTACCATATGTTCCTGATAATCTTTGCAGCCTCATGACCTAGTCTGTAATAACACACTGTAGTAAATGAAGATCTTTAAATGTCTGACACGTTGTTTACTTCTTTTAACTGTAGTGAGTACACCCTGTATTATCCATTATGTATTTCATAGCGCATGCTTGGCTAACCTCTTTTACAAACTCTTAAACCTCACTGCTAGATATCTCTGCAGTCACCAGTAAACAATACCTTAACATACAGAAACACAAGTGAATCTTGAGGCAAGTTCATTATTAGCACATTTTCACAGTCATATATTGCCATTTCATGTGACATAAGCTAGCAATGTATTTGGTTTTGTCAGTTGATACAGTAATTTTGACAGGTTTCAGAGTAACAGCCGTGTTAGTCTGTATTTGCAAAAAGAAAAGGAGTACTTGTGGCACCTTAGAGACTAACCAATTTATTTGAGCATAAGCTCAATAAGCTACTGTAGCTCACGAAAGCTTATGCTCAAATAAATTGGTTAGTCTCTAATGTGCCACAAGTACTCCTTTTCTTTTTACAGTAATTTTGTGTCTTTGCTCTATTTCACTAACTTTTTTTCCCTTTTAAAATGCTCTAAATACCAATAGGAAAAGTGTTCTTCTGGAATTGTACTTTTAACCTAAAAACTACTCAGCACATTTTATTGATTAACAATAACTAGTCCTCACAATACCCTTGTTGGTGGTGCGGGTTGATCCTGAGAGGCTGAGCATCTGCAAGTAGGCGAAAAGTGAGCAATACTATTTCTATTTTTCAGATGGAGGGAAATTAGGTTTTAGTTCATTGATTGACTGAAATTGAATTACTGTGCCTTTACAGTGAAGTAACTGAGATCAGTATTAACCCCAAAGAGATTACAGTAAGTGATTTATACAAGACCACAGCGGGAGTGTGATTCTCTCTTCAGGACACTCAGAACCATAAGCCACTGTGTTACTCCTCTGCCTCAGCAAGTGAGAGCTTTGCTACTGTTAAACTGTATGTCAGCTCTCTGACATACCAGTCTGTCTGCCTTGCCAGCAAACTCCTTGAGACTCTTCCATTCTAAACCTTCCTTGCAGGTAACAATCAGTAAAACCTAACTCCTGAGTTCCCCAGAGATGTCTTTCTGCAGTGTCCAGTCCCTTTCACAGAGACAGCGTGCACACCAGCCTGTTAGGTTACCTGAGGACTCATTCTTCACTTAAATATAATAGCAATGAGATGGGTTATAGTAAAACTATTAATAAGTTTTTATTAATAAAGTACAGAGATTTAAGTGATACTAAGCAAGAGAAAATGACAGGTATGGTTACAAACAAAACACGCATTCTAGTCACTAAAACTTTTCATTTTAGCAAGTTACAATCTTTGCCTAAGCAGTTCTCACTTACATCCGTTTACCAACATATTTAGCCCTTCAGACCAGGGGACAAAACTTGCACAGACACAGAGGATAGTGTCCCTTTTCTTCCCTAAGTGATGGATAACTAAGGGGTTCTCTCTCCTTTTTATAGTACAGGAAACCTTTGAAAAGCAAACCCAGACAAAGTTCCTCTCCTCTCCTGATGTGTGGACACCATGCTGTCTTCCTCATCCCTTGATCAATTTTCTTTTTCGATTGGCTTAATCACTTCATTTCCCTTACCTGTAAATGTACTTCCATTGTCTCTGGCCTCTCCTTGCTCAATTTACATTGGAGACAAAGGTAAACAGGTGAAACAATGTTCCTTTGTCTATGGCAAACCTGTTTATCTGCTCTACTCAGGTTGCTTGATCTGAACATATTTCAGGAATATATTTCCAACACATATACACAATTCTTTACACACTGACTGCACATACGTCACACAGTAATATTAGGGACCACTATCACCAGTTCTTACATGATACCTCACAAGATACTCTTTGGCTAAATATTCTGACAACAGCGTGTTGAGTGCGACCTTTGCCTGTTGGCATAAAGGGGGCTCTTAGGGTCACAGAGAGTCTGTCAGAGCCACTCTAGAGATGGAAAAATAAAGATCTGCTCGAGCCTAATTTTAGAGCCCAACCCAACCCTGAGTTGACCACAGCCAATCTGAACCCAGCCCAAGCATGTTGGGTTGTTTCATACCCGACCCAAACCTGACACTAGTATTTTGGTCCTGTCAGGTTCAAGTCAGGTTGCAAGGGTCTAACCTCTGGCCCAGAATGCATTTTCTTTACTTTGTTTCTCCATGGAGCCATTGGGGCTCATTATCCCCTAGCCCTGCTCTCCCACCACAGCCCATCAGCTGCTCCCAGCCCCAGCCAAGCACTGCACACCCAAAGGGTGGCCAGTTTTCCCCTCTCCCTGGCCACTCCTCCCAGACCTGTGTTAGTGCCACTGCCTCAACCTTGGAGGTCAGGCTGGTGGGCCTTCCCCCTCCCCATTCTCCATGCCCCACATCTGTTTCCGGCAGCTCCTTCCTGTAGGGTCTGGCTGCATGCCCTGCCTGCTGGCCACAGCTGCCTCCCTGAGCTGTGCGTGCTGTGGAAAAGAGGCACAGCAATTTGACACCACAGTACAGTGAGGTGGCGGTGGCCAGCAGGAGCAGGGCAGGCAGCCACTGCTGTACCAACCCCCAGTGCAGCTTGTGCTCAGAGACTGCCTGACTCAACTCGAGCCTGAGTGTCAGGTTGTTCTCCACCCGATCCATCCTGAACCTGACACTTTAGTCAGGGCTCATTGGATTTGCGTTCCATTGCAAGGCAAAGGAAACAACGATTTTATCTGATCTGTCTGGCATTTCTAGTACTCCCTTCACTATAGTATCTAGGCACCAGAGAGAGACACAAAAATGGCAGGGCCTATCAAAAGACGTGCCCCTAGCTCAAGGGTGGGAAAAGCAAGGTGATGCTACAGCTTACAAAACAGTAGCAGCGAGATCTGTGGAAGTTTCATAAGCTACTCAGTCAAATCACAGAAGGTATATTATTTCTGATGAAATGCTGTGTGTGACACTCCTACACATAAACTTTCATGCTGTGGTCACCCGGGAAGTGTCTCTTCATTGTACACATTTAGGAGATGATTACTGGAATTTAGGCAAGTATGTTATGCAGGAAGTCAGACAAAATGGTCATAATGATACCTTCTGACCTTAAAAGCTATTGTGGCTGTGTTTCTGGAAACCAAGCTTTAGTTTGGGTTTCAGCTGCCAGCATAAAAACTAAGGACCTCCCACTTCCATGTGTGTAAATCAGAAGTAACTCCAGTTAAGTTAATAGACTTACACTAGTTTAAAACCAAGGTAAATGAGGTCAGAATCATGCCCCAAAAAGTAATTTATTAGTGACTTGATATCATATAAGACTGTGAGGTTAAAACAATGGTGTAGTTCCTAGCAAACTTATTATCCTCTTTCATTATCCCAAATCATTAGTTTCAATTTTATTTTCAGAGTCTGGGCTGACTATGAACAAGGTTTTGGAAATTTTGTTTCAACAAATGGTGAATACTGGCTTGGCAATAAAAATCTTCACTATCTCACCAATCAAGGTAAGATTTGTACAGAAATATTTTTCTTCCTTACCGGCCTTTGCAATACAGGCAAATCCACGATCTGTTTCTGCCTGTTACTTTGTTTCAGGACCAGGTTCTGATGCAATTTGCACTCGTGTAAATCCTGAGTCACACCACTCGTTTGAATGGGGTTGTTTAGAATTTACAACAGTGTAAATTAGATCAGAATCTGGATCTCAGTTCCTAATAAAGGATTCAAACCCTCATTGGACCAATGTGTCAATGGTGTGCAGGGATCCTCTACAGAGCAATGCTCTGCAGTACATAATGCCAGCATCCCCCACGCTCTCAGATCCTTTCTCCCCATAGCAGACCTGCATCAGTTTAACTGACAGTCCTGACCCAGTCAGTGAACTGCATCCATTCCATTTAGTCAGGACTTGTAGTGGCCACATATGTGACACAATCTGACTGACAATGCAGGTCTGGGTGTTTTCTTATTTCTCCTACTCCTAGGAATGCTAGCAGTGTCTCCATATTTCTAATAATTAAAGGTAGTTAATCTCCTATTGTCCTAACATACCCTCCTCTAAGGGCTTGTCTACACTTAAAATATTGCACTGGTGCAGCTGCACCACTGTAGCACTTCAGTGAAGATGCCACCTACACCAACAGGAGGAGTTCTTCCATCAGCATAGGTAATCCACCTTCTGGGAGGTGGTAGCTACAAGGAGGGTTAGGTTGGTTTAACTGCATCACTCAGAGGTGTGAGTTATACTGACCTAATTTCCTAGTGTAGACCAGGACTAAATTATTGCTTGTTAGATCTTATGGTTCAATTTAGTGTACTCATTCCTCCTCCCAAAACCTTTAAAAGGCAGACTTCCTAAATTACTCTGCTGACAGTTCACAATGGCATCATGCCCCTCATTGCTCAATCAGCCTTTGAACATACTCTCTCCTCAGATAAGAAATCGAGGTCAATGGGGTTGAATGGGTGTAAGTGAAAGAAGAATTTATGCTATGCATTCAGGGCCAGATCTTCAATTGTCTTAAATTTGGCACAGCTCCACTGAAGTCATTGGAAAGATGTCAGTTTACACCCTCTGAGGATTTGGCTCTGATTGTTTAATTTACTAATCTACAGAGGACCCAAAGCCTCAAATTTTGGATTTGGATGGTAATTACCCCAAATTTTGAGGAAGAGCAAATCCAGGATTATGGCTGGATCCTCTTTCCTACCTTCATCAGCAACTCACAAATCCTACCAATGTGAGAGGGCTGGGTGGCTTACACTGGAAAACTTGTACCAGTGTAACTCCATCAATTTCTGATACAGATCAGCCCCATATGTTTTGTGGAGGGAGAAATACGAATAAAAATTAATTTTAAATGTCTAAAATTTGATTCCAAGCATTGTGGTCTGTTATATGCTCACCTTTAAAGACCTTCATGAGAAAATGTGGCTTTAGCAGAGGTGATGCATGGGGGGGGCGCATGTGGGGAGACGTGCCCTGCCAGATTTGTTGCTTTGGCTTGTACTGAGCATGCTCAGTAACACTGCTGAAGCTGGCTGCCCTCACTCTGTTCCCCTCCCCCACACTACTGGCAGGCACAGGTTGTCTCTAGACGTTAGTGACTATTATAATTTGTATTCTTGAAGTATATCCCACACCTCTTTATCTTCTTTCTTCCTCACCACTTAAGCATTTCTTGCTATTCCTTGTTTTACAACAATTTTAGGAGCATAATTTAAAGAAGATGTTGCCAGAACAATATTAGTTTTATAGAAATTGCTGTGATTTTTATTCATATGAATTTGTCCCATAACTTTTTAAATATGTAAATGCAAATGTGAAAATAAAAAGGCTTGTGGGAGCAAAAGAAGAAACATAAATAGGATTTTAGTCTTTTTACATAGCACAATGGCTTTATTCTGAGGAATGCTGAGAGAGGTTGATTTAACATGAATAAATATTTGTTGTTGTTTTGTTAAGGAAACTATACCCTAAGAATTGATCTCTCTGATTTTGAAGGAGAACGGCGCTTTGCACAATATAAACGCTTCAGAGTTACAGATGAAGAGGTAATAAAATACTGAATAACTTAGTTAATCGGTTAATTCATTTTTTAAATGAAAGCTTGGATTCCGTAGGCAACAGAAAAAATATTATGGAAGGCCATATAATTATAGATTCCACAACTTTCATATACATATATGGTTTTCTAATATCTCTTATTAACACATTTTCTTTCTCACCAAGACCTTAGAATTTTGGATTATGTAATAATACATTGGTTTAAGTTCATAAATTGGTTTTACACAATCATACTTTGTGCCTGTCTTTAAAGATTTTAAATTCGTTTTCTGGTTCTTCAGCAACCTTTTAAATAATAGGCAGTTTTCATAGAACTTTGCTGATGTTATTAATGATGTTGGTTACAAAGATTTTTTGACATGAAAATGTTCAACATAAGATGAAGTTTTTATTAAGCAAAATTAGCTCTGTTAAAGGGTAAATCACAGAGAATATTCTTTGTTAACAAAGGCCTTGATTCAGCAAGGTACTTAACTATGTGGCTAATTTTAAGCATATGAGTAGTCCTGTTACAGTCAATTCACTAGGACCATACATGGTTAAACTTAAGCAATACTTAAGTACCTTGCTGAATTGGGGCCAAATGGCCCAATTATGCTGAATGCCTTCTGGTAGGTGCTGAGTACCCTAAACAGCCACTAAAGTAAAATCCAATTGTTTTGGAGGCAGTAGGAGTTAAAAGCATTCAATGGCTAACAGAAGCCCTTCAGCACCTTGCAGAATTGAATCCTAAAAGCCTGCTTTTAAACACGTATTTAAAGTTCTTGAAAATTCTTTTGTCTTACTGAGCATCATCCCAATTGCCTTTTACACTGTGTTTAAATGGCAAGAGCTAAATGACATGCCATTTCTGAGTTTATATTAAATAACAGTGAATGGAATGTGTATATTTCCTAGTTAATACCCATATTTGTTAATAACACCCAGAGATTAGTCTAATTTTTCTCTCTCCATTTTTCATTAGAGCTCATACCAGCTGAGCTGTGGTGAATACTCTGGCACAGCTGGTGACTCCCTAACTGGGGGGTTTCACCCTGAAGTGAAATGGTGGGCTGATCACCGAGGAATGAAATTTAGTACACGAGACAGAGACAATGACAACTATGAAGGGAACTGTGCTGAGGAGGAGACAGCTGGCTGGTGGTTTAACAGGTCAGGTATTTCATGAGAGTACCAATACAAGTGATTATGATATCTCCTGATTACATATGATGTAGAAACATACAATATTAGGTGGGATTAGTACAGAGGTGAGCAAACTACTGCCCGTGGGCCTCATCCGGCCCGCTGGACTATCCTGCCCAGCTCTTGAGCTTCTGGCCAGGAAGGCTATCCCTGGCCCCTCCCCTGCTGTCCCCCATCCCCCGCAGCCTCAGCTCGCCGTGCCAGCGCTCTGGGCGGCGGGGCTGCAAGCACCTAACAGGCAGCACGGGTGGCGCAGCTGCCAGTCCTGCTGCTCTGAGCGGCATGGTAAAAAGGCCGGGAACGGGAAGGGGTGGCTGGATAAGGGGCAGAGGGTCCCTGGAGGCAGTCAGGAGACAGGGAGCAGGGGGTGGTTGGATGGGGCGGAGGTTCTGGGTGGGGGCAGTCAGGGGACAGGGAGCAGGGGGGTTGGATAGGTGTGGGAGTCCTGAGGGGCCTGTCAGGAGGTGGGGGTGTGGATAGGGATCGGGACTGTCAGGGGACAGGGAGGAGGGGTGTTGGACAGGGGGTAGGGTCCCGGGAGGGCGGTCAGGGGACAAGGAGCAGGGGGAGTTGGATGGGTCGGGGGGGGCAGATAGGGGGTAGGAAGTGGGAGGGGGCAGATAGGGGATGGGGGCCAGGCTGTTTGGGGAGGCACAGCCTTCCCTACTCGGCCCTCCATACAGTTTCAGAACCCCAATGTGGCCCTCAGGCCAAAAAGTTTGCCCACCCCTGGATTAGTATAATTAATTGTAATTGGGTAAACTGTCATTGACCCCTATCACAGACACCTCAGCACTTGCCCACATGACTGAGTCTGACCCTTGAACGAACTCCTTGCCTGATACCCCTGTATCACACCATCTCTAGCTTGCACTGGACTGACAGAAGGGATTTACTATGTGCTGGGGTTTGCATTCCAAATTCTCACTTGCTGTCATTCCGTATCTATTCTATCTCCAATGTACAGATTCTCTTTAAGGTCTCTAACTTTCATTAAAACAAGTCATCTTGAACACACATCACCACTGCTTCCCATTCTTGCATTTTCCCAGTATTTAGCTAGACCAGATGTGACATTTGTGCAGTCTATGACAAGTTAGTGCTAGTGGTTGAGTTAATAGATGCCTAATGTTAGGGGAACCATTTTTCACCCCACTTCACAGGGTCTCAAGCTCATTGTCCATTCATCAAGAAAGGAATGCACCCCCTTAATTAGTGGTTGTTCTCAGAGCGATTATTCTGAGAAGGAAACTTCCTTAAAGACGATGAAGTCAAAGTTTTTAAAATGTAACATTTCTTATACTTGTGCATGCAAGGTGACGCAGAAGATTGAACATAAATGATAAATAACCTTGGCCTTGAATATATGGGCAACTATCTATATAGGTTCACTTGAATAATAAGATAAATATAGCTGCAAGGTGCAATTATGCAATATAATTATGCAATATATAGCTATAAAATGCAGTTCAAAGAAGCATATTATCACAATGCAATCTCAGTTCACTTGGGAAGAATTGCCAGGCAGGATCAGCTCCAATGTGTGTGTCTCTCTCTGTGTCACCCTTTGTCTCCCTTTTTAACCCCTCACTTCCCAAAATTCAATACCACTTTCTTTGAGAGGACTGAGATAAGTTAGGCTGATCTCATTACCTGTAGCCACCTCATAGGTTTGTTTCAAAATTAATTTTATCTTTTAGCATATGCTAAGGAAGGAGAATCAACATAATGGATAGTGCAAGGAATTGGGTATTCCTTTTTGTGGGTACACAAAACCACTTGTGGACTGAGTTTCAGTGCTACTTAAAGCTACAATTATAGATATAGAAAAAAAAATCAGTTGTGATCCTGTTCCCAATTAAATGAACCTCCAACCCTAAAATTACATAGGATTGTGATAACGTATCACAGCTCTCACGTATGATGAATCACCAATGACTATTAGTCAACTGAGTCCATTTTCCTCAAAACAAATCTCTTATTATGTCTGATAGCTCAGGCAAAAGCATTATACTTTTGTGGAAATAGCTGCATGACAGGATTTGACAGCTCTTTGTATCTAATATACTATTATGATTCATATCATATAAATACCACAGATAGCTAGCTCTTGCGGTGCAGGTTTCTATTAGCTGTGGGTCTTTCGCTCTCTTAAAGTGATAATACTGTCTTGTAGCAACTATGCTCTGGATTAAAGATGAAAGCTGCTCATGAAGTTACCCCACTTCCATGATTCTGCCATTTTGTTGAGTAAGCACTTACTACTGAAGTGAACACTGAAACACTCAGCAGAATGCTTGCAAATATCGGTATTCTGCCCACACAAAAGAACAAAGCAAGCAGGCAGAGTGAAATGAAAGCACTGAGAGCACTCATTTGTCATGCTCACATTAGCAATCATGGATTGGGGGAGAACCAGTGCTCTGGATTGGGTTATATAGAGTCTCCCAGCTGGGTAGGAATTTGTTTTTCTATTTAAAATCTATTGAAATGCAATTTTTGCCTTAAAAAAATTAAGGGATCAGGAGACAATAGGAATGGAAACAGGCTACTTCTGAGGTGTGTACATGAGCCTGCCAGGTTTGGCAGTGTAACTTTAAAAAAAGCATACCTTTATTACTTTTTATTTTGTATGAGCTGAGTACTTAACATATGTAATCAATAAATCATATGCCAGTTGTGTTTCTTCTGCATGTCTAGTTATTTCAGTGTCCAGACTGTTACACAGTATTTGTGTAGTTTTGTTATTGTGCTTTTTTTGCTCCCCAGCACCAATTTAAGAGTTGTTATTCTTGGCTCATGGTACTTTCAAAAAAAATCCACTTGTGTCCATTTCCTCCAAAAGAAGGAAATGCAGTAAAGGAGTCAGTAAAGAAGTCCAGTAGCTAGTCACCACCTGTTACCCTCTATGCCTTTGCTGAGGAAGTTTGTGCTTGAGTGAGTAGTGCAAAGTAAACAAATGCCTACCCAGTAAGGAAAGTGTACGACATATTGAGCATGTCAGTTCCGTCATCAGTTTATCCTTTTGAAAATCAAAACCACCTTTTATATCTGCAGGTCATAAACTTTCAGCTGGTATATGGCATGATTCAATTTTTAAAAAGTGTTTGCAACGAACAACCAGCTAAATAAGAATTTTAATATATGGCTTTTATTATTATTGCTTCTATTTCAGTTCTTTGTAACTGTTGAGTGTAAACATGTGCAAACATACCTAGAGAGACTAACATTTGCCAATAGTTATATCCTTAAAGCTCATTCTAGATTGTTTTCTGTTTGAATTCTACCTAAAGTCAGCTTTCTAAAATCCATCATAATGTGTGACAACTAGCTACTAATAACAACAAAATACCAACCCAACAGTTGTTATAATCTAGTATTGGAGCTATAGCTAAACAGATTCACTACAATATCCTGCAAAAAAAAATGTTTAAATGTCTATATAATCACAATCATTCCTTCTTCTTCATGGAAACAAAATTAATGAGGGAGAGGGGCTGTAGCATAGCAAAGTATTTCTTTGACAGTTACAAATGTAACTTATACTGTTGCAATGTATTAGAGAGCCAGAGAAGGATGCCAATTGAAATGGCAACTCAGATGATCCAGCTATTGGAGGATGGCCAGAATGGCTATATTTAACTTGTAGAGAGATTTCATATTTTTCCAACAAATATGAAATCAGTAGTTTAATAGCTGAGCTGATGGTGATTATTCTTATTTTTGCATGTGAAACTCCAACTGTTAGCAGTAAATGCAGGATTTAGAGCAATTGCTCCAAAACAACAAACAGAGGAACAATGCCACGTTCCTTTCACAAAGTTTTCATTGCCACATACCCTTGTTGCTAGGTATGATCTTAACAAGTCTGGAAACATTCTCTAATGAAGCAGATTAGCAGGCAAAATGTCAGGGAACTAATGGTGTTAAAGGAATGGAGTCAAGGAACAAAGGATTTTTTGTTTTGGAGCCGCTAAGAACCCTTGAAATTGTGCCCTAATTTAGCCTTTATTGTTTAGTGGCATTGAGCCCCATGAATACAGATTCCTGCAGCTGTCAAACTAGACTGTCATCAACATAGTGATTTTTTTGGCTCATGCAACAACTACAAATCCCTGAAGCTTTTAGACAAAACAGATTTGTTTAATTAACATGAATGTCTTATTTTTGTTTTCCCCTTCTTTCCCACCAGGTGTCACTCTTCCAACCTGAATGGTGTGTACTACAAAGGACCTTATACAGCAAAGACAGACAATGGAATTGTTTGGTACACATGGCATGGGTGGTGGTATTCTCTGAAATCTGTTGTTATGAAGGTCAGACCAGCAGACTTTGAACCCAATGTTGTTTAAATATCTAGTTAATATAATTCATCCAGTTAATCTTTTAGCAAATCCATTCAAATTAAGCCAGATGGGCAGATTTCTCCCTCCACCAGCCCCGCTCCCCTGCCTCATTTATGCCTGTATAAATCTGGAATAACTTCATTAAAATCAGTGGTGTTATATGGGTATAAATGAGAATAGAATCTGGCCTTGAGCCTGGAGATACAAATAACTTGTATGGGATTGCTAAAGAGACCGGTCAACATTCACCCAGGGTTTATGGCAACTTTCACCCATGTAGAATACTTAGCAGTAGATCCCTAGAAGAAGGGGGAACTTCCACTTGACTGACAGGCACAAGGGGGGCCAGGACTTCCCCAAAAGCGAGCGGTATTGGTCAGGAAGGAGGAGTGCAGTGCTATTATAGCCTCTGCTGGTGAGGTTCCTTTGGAATCCCCAGTGGAATTCAAAGCAGCCTACAATGCTAGAACCTCTGAGGAACGACAGCAGTGGGAATCACCTGTCCTTTCCTAGGACACAAGAGACTAGGCTGGTACACAGGTGCAATTTGTACCTTCTGTGCCTTCTGGAGAATGGGGTACAGGAGGGGGTGCCAACTTGGCCCACACTATTTTGGACTTTTTTCATTTGGAAACCATCTATATCGAAATCTATGCACAATAAATAGGATTTAATGGAAAAATTACAAAATAGATTCACTCTATTGTCCTAAAAAGCAATGTGACTATATATTACACATAAAAATGACATTAAAATCATGTTATAGGCGCCTCGTTTAGTGCACAGAATGGACTGTTTCTGGGAATTAATCCTGGTTGTGTAGAATGAAGGTGTTGTATGTAGGAGTCCTGTGTCATTTGCTGCAGAAGTTGAAAGATGTGTAGTGAATGAGGCAGTAGCTTGAATGAAGAAAAAGGATGGTCTTGTGGTTAAGGCCCTTTCGTGCTGCCCTGGAAAATTGGGTTCTATCCCTACTGCTACCATATAGTTCCTATGTGATGTGAGCAAGTCACTTAAACCAAACTTTTCACAGATGGCCACTAATTGTGGGTTCCTCATTTTCTGGGTGCCTGACTTGGGCACTCACAGCTGCAACTGAAGTCAATGGGAGCTGTGCTTTGAACATACAGAGTGCTATATAACTCAAAGCACTCTGAAAAATCAGGTCCTAGTTGTTTCAAATTGAGCATCCAAAATTAATGGTTCTGGAGCAATTTGTATACTGAGGGTGCTGAGAGCCATTGAACCAAACTGTAAACTCTGTATGTGATTGACACCATTTCAAACCATGCTGCACCCTTAGTTCCAGCACCTATGAGTGGACATGCTGTGCACTGAATGGGGCAGGGGTCCAGTGGAAAATATAATGTATGATCCTGTAATTAAAGACTGTATCATAATACATACGCACAGGGGAGCCAAATTAAGGTTACATGGGCAACTTTAATTCTGGCACTTCCTAGCTTTTGAGTGCTTGCTTTAGCAAACGTAACATTCTTTTAACGTAGTTTTTGTGTGTAATTTTAAAGAAAAGCTGAACCCATTTCCATCATGACACCCAGCAGGGTTGGAACCTTTAGATCCATAGCACAGACTTCTGCCACTTGAGCTCACGGAGTAACTGATAGTAGCAGTAGGTTATCTTCTACGTGAACTAATGACTAGAGGGGGAATGGAACACTCCCTTTTCCAGAGGGTTTCACAGATATTTGCAGACAGCAGAGGAATGCTGAGTCTTCAGAATCTTGACTTTCAGTCTAAATTCTGACGTATAGCATGCTTTACAGGTAACAGACCCTTGTGACCCCCTCACCTCAACAAGACTGCCCCCTTCTACCACTTGTCCCTTTAGCCTGTTCCTTTTCCAGTCCTGGCTCTCCCCCTCCTTGCAGATCCTTTCCTAACTAGTCCCAGTCTAGATCCTCCCAGAATCCTCGCTCCATTCCCATTGTCCTTGCCCAGTCACATCCAGGCTCCCCGTCCAAGCCACAGTCTTCCCCGACCCAGGCTCCTTGTCCCAGTTTCCTTGCTCACTCAGTCCCATTTCCCACCCCCAGCTCCTCATCCAATCTCAGTGTAGCGTCCCTCCCCGCCCCTGGCTTTCACTCCAAGTCTCTGCCCAGCCAGTGTCCTTGTTCCACTCTACTCTCTCTTGTGTCCCCCCAATCTGGCTCTTGTCCCTTCAGCATTCAAGTCAGGAAATTTCTGTCTCCATACTGCCTGGGGGTTTGCAGGGGAGTGCTCATGAGCACGGGAGAGACAGCCTTCCTGCTCTCAGTCCTTACTTCCACTCTCACAGCCAGAAGCAGCAATTTCAGGCAAAGTTCTACTCTGCCCCAGTAGCCCTAAGATGTAGTATGCCCAAGGCAAACTGAGTCATTAGAGAACTGAGCTGCAAAAGTCTAAGTCTCTGCTGAGCATGTGTAAACTGAGAGTTTTCAAAAGCTTATAATTTGGCCAGATTTGGGTGGGGGTTTTTTCAAGGATAAGCAAAAGATACATCCCTGGCTTGTATTTTTCAAGTTCCTATTCCAAAACATGGACATACTAGAGCTTTTCAACTGAACAGCTGTAAGAATTTATTTCGGGGAAGGGGTTGGAATGGGGGCAGGGCCGGGGCAGCAGGGTCAGTGATGCGGCCCTCAGGCCAATGTACTAGTCCTCATGTGGCCCTCGTGCTCATTTGAGTTTGAGACCCCTGCTCTAATGGTTAGAAACCTTCACCTAATTTCAAGCCTAAACTGTTGATGGCCAGTTTATATCCAAGTTTTCTTGTGCCAACATTGGCTCTTAACTCTGCTCCCTCCCTTGTGTTTATCCCTCTGATGTGTTTATAGAGAGCAATTATATCTCCCCTCAGCCTTAATTTCATTAGGCTAAACAAATCAAGCTCCTTGCACCTCACCTCATAAAGGAGATTCTCTATTCCTCTGACCATCCTAGTAGCCTTTCTCTGCACCTGTGGGGGGGTGGAGGGTGAGAAAACCTGGATTTGTGCTGGAAATGGCCCAACTTGATGATCACTTTAGATAAGCTATTACCAGCAGGACAGTGGGGTGGGAGGAGGTATTGTTTCATGATCTCTGTGTGTATATAAAGTCTGCTGCAGTTTCCACGGTATGCATCCGATGAAGTGAGCTACAGCTCACGAAAGCTCATGCTCAAATAAATTGGTTAGTCTCTAAGGTGCCACAAGTACTCCTTTTCTTTTTGCGAATACAGACTAACACAGCTGTTACTCTGAAACCTGTTCTACTTTGAATTTCTTTGCTTGTCCATGTTTAAGAGAGTTGCGCACAGTATTCCAGATGAGGTCTCATCAGTGCCTTGTATAATGGTAATAACGCTTCCCTATTTCTACTGGAAATACCTCGTCTGATGCATCCGAGGATTGCATCTGACTTTTTCCATGGCCCCATAACATTGGCAGCTCATAGTCATCCTGTGATCAACCAATACATCCAGGTTTTTCTCCTCCTCTTTCACTTCCAACTGTTATGTCCCCAGGTTATAAGAAAAAATTCTTGTTGTTAGTCCCTAAATGCATAACCTTGCACTATTAAGTTTCACCCCCTTTCTATTACTCCAGTTTTCAAGGTTATCCAAATCTTTTTTTATGATATTCTGGTCCTCCTCCATAATTGCAACACCACGTCACCTTGTCTCATTTGCAAATTTTATTAGCACACTCCCACTTTTTGTGCCAAGGTAATGAATGAAAATGTTAAATAAAATTGGTCCCAACATTGATCCCTGAGGAACTCCTCTAGTAACTTCCCTCCAGCCTGACAGTTCACCTTTCATTATGACCCACTGTAGTGTCCTCTTTAACCAGTTCCTTATCCACCTTTCAATTCTTATATTAATCCCCATCTTCTCCAATTTAACTAATAATTTCCCATGTGAAACTGTATCAATTGATTTCCTGAAATTCAAATAGCTTAAAATCTACTGCATTTCCTTTGTCTAGAAAATCAGTTGTCTTCTCAAAGAAAGAGATCAGGTTGGTCTGGTATGAGCTATCCATTGTAAAAGCATGTTGTATTTTATCCCAGTTACTGTTTACCTCTCTATCCTTACCTTCTCTGTCTTTCAAAATTTGTTCTAAGACCTTGCATACAATTCAGGTCAAACTATAGTTTCCCATGCCACTTTCTCCCCGACCACCCTTTTCATAAATATAGGTACTATATTTGCAGTTCTCCAGTGGGGTATGGCCCATAGTTTACAGATTCATTAAACATCCTTGCTATTGGTCTTGTAATTTCATGTGCCAGGTCTTTTAATATTCTTAGATTAAGACAATCCACAGCTTCCAATTTGGTCCCATTAAGTTGTTTGAGTTTGGCTTCCACCTTGGATCTTGTAATTTTTACTTATCTTCTTTCTCATTAGACACCCTGCTACTGTGCCCAGGCTCTTCATTCTTAAGAACTGAGGCCACATATTCATTTAGGTGGTGGGCTATACCTAGATTATCTTTAATCTCCATCCTATCCTCAGTGTAAGGCCCCAGAAGTCTAGAACTCGGGCTAGTAGAGCTCCTAGGCAACTGAAAGCTCCAGGCTGCCATCCAACAGCAGCTGTAACCAATTTGCACTACACATCCCATGTCCTGCTGTGGACACAGACCACAGGAAGTTCTGCCTCAAGAGTTTGATAGACAGCAGCCCCATGGTTCCTGATTGGCTCCCAAGAAGTTTCCAGGCAATAATGTGGATCTTCTGTAGTGGTTATTACTTATTCATTGCTCTTGAATTCCTGGTATTGGTGTGATTCTCCAACCTTGCCCCTTCTGGATGCAAATCTTTTTGTCTTCTGTTCTCACTTGCAATCTTCTGAGAAAAGAAAAAAGAAAAGGAGTACTTGTGGCACCTTAGAGACTAACCAATTTATTTGAGCATGAGCTTTCGTGAGCTACAACTCACGAAAGCTCATGCTCAAATAAATTGGTTAGTCTCTAAGGTGCCACAAGTACTCCTTTTCTTTTTTCTTTTTGCGAATACAGACTAACACGGCTGTTCCTCTGAAACCAATCTTCTGAGAGTCATCCTCTGTCTTCCTGTAGCTCTGAACTCTGGTTATCTCCATTGTCTCTGCCCTTCTTTTTGTAGGGCTAGCCACTCTTCCTTGATCTCCCATCTTCTGTTAGTGACTCTCTCTCCCCTTCATTTTCCAATTCAGCAAACCTATTCCTTGGCTCTGTCTCCTGTGTTTGCTGATCTTTTCCTCTGACTGGTTCTTGTAAGCACATGTTTCCACTGGCCACTTAATTCATCCAGCAGTCTATCCTCACAGTTGTCCAGTCCAGCTTCCATCTGCAAGTCTTGAGTTTTCCCCTTCAACCTCTTCTGGCCTTTCCTTCATCATCAGCTTAAATCCCCTTCAAAACTCAACCATAGTTTCTACCTGCATTTCAAAACCTCAGATCTTCTCTTCCATCAGCTCTATCAGGCAGCACATCATACAAATGAAGCATCTTTCAGGTACCCTCTCCAGAATAATGTACATCCTCCATCTTCATTGTCTTGTCCATTCTTGGGGTTACTACCCCTGCTGCCTCTGTAACAGGCATGGCCTCCCATCCAAAGCTTCTGTCAACAGATAACCCACACTGCACACAAAATCCCCCCTGCAGCTTCCCTTCCAAATTCCCCTGTTTTCGGTTGTTTTCTGGCTCATGTGCTGCTGACTGACCAGTTGGCTGCCTTTATAGGCCTGCTGATTAGGAAAGCCTGGTCCCCTAATCAAAGCTCAGCTGTGATCCTTTTCTCACAACACACTGCCCCTTACCACACTTTGCAAACTGAAAGCAATCTAGCAAGCAAGCAGACACTCTTGAGAACACACACTCTGCCACTAAGAAACAGGGGCTTGCCTCCCTTCTCCTCCAGCAGGTTTCCAATCAAACTCCCCTGATCTCAGCTCTCTTTGCTGGCTCCTGTGCCGCTACTATGAAAGTTCTTGCAACAATCCCAGGGGATTCATGTATCTCTCCATGGTTTTACTTGGTGGCCAGTGTCCTGCCCCGCTCAGTGCTATTCACTATTTAAATTCCTTCTCGGGTCACACACTATACACTGGGAAATAAAGAAGGAAGGTGTTGTGATTAAGGCAACAGACTGGGGATAAAGAGATCTAGATTCTGTTCCAGGCTCTCTCATGGATTCACTGTGTGACATTGAACCCCTGTAAAACAGGTGTGACATTTACTTTAACTTCACAGGGTCTGCTGAGAGTAGATACACAAATGTGTGGCATTCAGATACCAGGCTGATGAGGGCTGGAAGAAAGCCTATAAATAAATGAGATGTGGTTCATATGCATCTCTATGCTGCAGTATAAACTTTAGCTTAAATTCTACAATGGGTTTTAAACTTATGCTTTAGTAGCAATTAAAAAAAATATTTTAAAAGATCCAGTCACAGGACTGGATGCATTTTCAGCATACTAGTGTAGAACAGTTCAGTCACATAGAAAATCCACAGAAGACAGGAAGATACACATAGAATCATAGAATCATAGAATATAAGAGTTGGAAGGGACCCCAGAAGGTCATCTAGTCCAACCCTCTGCTCGAAGCAGGACCAATTCCCAGTTAAATCATCCCAGCCAGGGCTTTGTCAAGCCTGACCTTAAAAACCTCTAAGGAAGGAGATTCTACCACCTCCCTAGGTAACGCATTCCAGTGTTTCACCACCCTCTTAGTGAAAAAGTTTTTCCTAATATCCAATCTAAACCTCCCCCACTGCAGCTTGAGACCATTACTCCTCGTTCTGTCATCTGATACCATTGAGAACAATCTAGAGCCATCCTCTTTGGAACCCCCTTTCAGGTAGTTGAAAGCAGCTATCAAATCCCCCCTCATTCTTCTCTTCTGCAGGCTAAACAATCCCAGCTCCCTCAGCCTCTCCTCATAAGTCATGTGTTCCAGACCCCTAATCATTTTTGTTGCCCTTTGCTGGACTCTCTCCAATTTATCCACATCCTTCTTGAAGTGTGGGGCCCAAAACTGGACACAGTACTCCAGATGAGGCCTCACCAATGTCGAATAGAGGGGAACGATCACGTCCCTCGATCTGCTCGCTATGCCCCTACTTATACATCCCAAAATGCCATTGGCCTTCTTGGCAACAAGGGCACACTGCTGACTCATATCCAGCTTCTCGTCCACTGTCACCCCTAGGTCCTTTTCCGCAGAACTGCTGCCTAGCCATTCGGTCCCTAGTCTGTAGCTGTGCATTGGGTTCTTCCCTCCTAAGTGCAGGACCCTGCACTTATCCTTATTGAACCTCATCAGATTTCTTTTGGCCCAATCCTCCAATTTGTCTAGGTCCTTCTGTATCCTATCCCTCCCCTCCAGCGTATCTACCACTCCTCCCAGTTTAGTATCATGTGTACATGTGTACATGTGTACAATATGATATATTCAACAACAAAAGAGAGCCTCCAGTAGTTATTTCTAGCCAATTTTCTCATTAAACTCAAAGTGATCCTGCATCTTCCTCATGCACACTCTATAAGTCTGAATCAGTAGAGTGAAGATGAACGCTTGTTTTTCCAAACAAAAAGATAGGTTTCTAGAGATGTTAGAAACGCATTCTTTCCTGTGGGAATTCTCAAATTCCTTTCAGAAGCCTGAGTTGAGGAGGGTTCATTCTCTGCCAAGCCATGAATGATATTACAGATAACAGTGAAATTACCCTTAGTATTTTGGAGAGGAAAAAGGAAGGAAGATTACTTAATGCATTCAAAGAAGCCCTACTGAGGCTGATCTAATTGCACTTAATGTAAATATAAGACATGGAAGGCTTAAATAGTAAATTCTCTAGCAGGAAAAAAATAGATTGCTCCCAAACTTGCTGATAAAATCTTCAGCAGTTTTCTTGAGCTTGTTGTAGGATAAATCAAGGCTTATGGTAAATCAAGGCTTATGTAGGATAAATCAACTTATGAGAATGCGAACAACACTCATCAGGTTTCAGAGTAGCAGCCGTGTTAGTCTGTATTCGCAAAAAGAAAAGGAGGACTTGTGGCACCTTAGAGACTAACCAATTTATTTGAGCATAAGTTTTTGTGAGCTACAGCTCACTTCATCGGATGTGTGACAAGTACTCCGTTTCTTTTTGCGAATACTCGTCAGCTGAGCTAGGACATATTCCTAACATTTGAATGCAAAAGTGGCAGAAAAAGCCATTTCCCTTCCCCTTTTGGAAATCTCATGAGGAAACGTACTCTAGATTGATGTACAACCCGGTTACACAAGGCAACCCTCTTTCTGCATATTTTTTCATGCGTTTGCACATTGTTTATTTGGATTGTAACCTCCTGAGGGCCAGGATCTTGTCCTCCTAGCTGCTTGAAAAGCGCCTGGTATATTGGTGGCATTATGCAAATAAAATATAATTCCCCCTCCCCCATTTCCATGTTTTTCTTTGTCTATAATCAATGCGGACTGTATTAAAATGTATGAGTAAAGTGTTTTTAACTCAAATGTGATCCCATGTTTCTTATCAAATAAGTAAAACCTTTAATTTTAAAGAACAAGTTCAGATGGATTTTTTTTTTTAAAGTACAATTTGGAAGTGAAATCACAAGCTGCTAAGTGTTCCTTGCTGTGCCTGGCATTGCCTGTTAGTATTAACTTGTTTCCTCTACAGGTTTGAACATGTCCTGGAGCAGACTAGTATTCATGCATGATTGTAGAACAAAGATCAGTGTATTTGTTCAATCATTAGATAGGAACCACAACACAGAGCAGAATGAATTTGTTTCACTTGATACAAATTATACAACCCAAATAAAGAACAATCAAAGAAATAATAAGGGTTTTGCTGGGTCATTCATGATTGAACAAAGAACACTATCCTAGCTACCAGCAATACGCCAAGCAAAAAAGCCCTCTCTTTAATCATCCTTTGTGAGAAATGTCTCAATGTTTATGAACTAGCAGTTATTCTAATAGTTTTCCTTTCCCTTCAAATTGTTAAACTCTTTGGAGAGTGAAAGAATGGAAATCATAAATCAGCATGAATTAAGTGGAGTAGGAGGCATAGATCCATTAGAAATCTGCCTTCTAACCTCTTCCTACAGTCAGAAACCTAACATAGTGCCCTGTTTGTTTATTTTTTAGGGAGAGAGTGGTGCACTGAGGAGAGAGAGGAAGTTCCTGCCATAATTTGACCTATAGCTTTCCTGCAAAGATTTTTCTCTGAAGCCCCACTGGCTGCCTAGAATTACTTCTGCTAACTCTCCCCCTTACACACTGCTACCCCACTAACATCCTGTGATGTTCCTTTGAAAGGGTCAGAGCCTCAGGCCAGTTCTCAGCCCAGCTGCTGGCACAGTGCATGTCACCAGGGGAAAAGTGCAGGGTAAGGGCTCCCCAGATGGCCAAATATCCTTTTCAGGCTTCTCTAATTCACAGCAGGGACAGGAACAGTACCTCAGTGGCCCAAAGACCTGAGGAGCACAATGGTGGCTTTAAACTGCCTGTATCCCTCTTCAGCTGGGTTAAGTGCTGCTCCACTACAGCTGAAGATTGGAGAAAAAGTTTCTTGGCTTTAATTCCCCACAGTTTTGGGGTGTTTCAGTTCATCTGGAGCTCAACTTGGAGATCTCAAAACAGGCACCAAAAATTAGTGGATATTTTAAAACTTAGATATTGATGTCTTACTGCCTCACTGTTGCATTGGGATCTTCAGACCACCAGACTCAGATCCTAAGGATCCCATATTAATGTGTCCATAATGATGTAATATTATTTGTCTTATATTTAACTCTCACTGTCTGTGTCTTTTTCTCTTATGAATCACTCCTGTGTATCTAGTACTGATTACTGGAACATTCTTGAAGAATTGAAAACAACTCTTAAAAAATG